ATTATCGGTCCAAAGATCTGGAAATTAGCACAATATGATGTTATCAGTCAATTTAAAAGATAGTGTACTCACTACCCAATCAAGCACAGTTTAGGTTGATTTAAAATCAAAAAACAAAAAAAATATATATTGACACAATATGAATGTATATATAAAAAAAACGTATGTGTCTTGTACTCTTAATTGGTCGCAGTACAATAGTCGAACCTGTCTTTTAAAGAAAAAGCTTTCCCTGCTTGGTGCTGCACCAAACAGACAAAACTTTGAAGGCAGTTATTTTCTCAAGTGGGCGTCTATTGCACCCACCGAGTATTGTGTTACCTATCTGCCTTCGGACTGCCCGAGCTAGACCTACTAAAGTCCTCAGGGCAGTCACTTTTCCCAAAAACGTATTATGTCCAATCCACACCAATGAACCACGTTCTCTTTAATTTAGACTTAGTGTCGCGAATATCCGAGTTTGGACTTGTTTTGTATTAGTCTTGTTCTTATCGAAAGGCAAGTTACCAGCGCAGTCACTGATACCTAGCCTGTGTATTAATAACTTAATACTTCTCACTTTTTAGTCTTTCTTTCGTTCACCTAAGTCCTTAATAAAATAATACCCCTCCGGATTGGCACAAATAGGACCCTTCCGGATTTGTCAGAATCTAGACCCCTCCGGAATTGGATCCCTCTTGAAAAAACTTCGACCCCTCCGGATTGGGAGCCCTCCGATTTTGTAAAAGTAGCTTTTAGGAGATTTCCTTTTTTCAACCTATACCCCTCCGAATACGTTCTCCGATGCAATTATGCTGTTTTAATTAACTGGGAAGGGTATAGGGTCCTTTCCTAGACCCCTCCGGATTGAAGTTAAGCCTCTTATTTGACAATTCACACTAACGGTGAAGGGTCTTGTCACTGGCCTAACTTTGGCTCGGTTAAGCTTTTGCGGTGACTTTAGCCCTCCCTCTACGTCTAGAATGGCCTAAAGTTACTTTACTCAACCGCTATTACCTTTTGGTAAGGGTATCAGGGCTTTTCAGAAAAATTTGTAAAACGTGAAGGGTGTACCCCTCCGGATTTGTGTAATTTGCTAAAAACAATCTCAAAAAATTTTCTCTCTCGCTTTTCCAAAAAATTTCTGATCCTATTAGTAAGCTCAGCTAATTTCTGATCTATTGGTACCAAGATCAACTCGATATGCTCTGTAGTTCCAAAGTTATTAACCAAAACGTCTTTTTTCCAAATTCAAAAAATTTTCTCTCTTATAGGTTCCGCCTAACTTTTTCCGCAAATCTGGTCCTTTCGACCTAAAAATTATTGATCCGAGCTCAGAAGGCCTATACTCTTCTAGTTCAATGCAAAAGACCCGATCTAAAACGCTATTGTAGAAAAATTTTGCGAAAAACTATGCTACTTGGACCCCTCCGGATTGATGAATCCACTAAATCAAACACGTTATGTTCGATTTCTCTGCAACCCGGAAGGCTTTCGGGTAGCGGATTTTAAGACTTGTAGATTCACTAGTGGACGTTGTCCGAACAACTATTTTTACTGTCCTACCTCAAAAATTTCAAAAAATTTTCTAAATTTTTAGTGTTTCTTACTATCAAAAATTGGGAAAATTTGGTTTTTGGTACCAAACTAGTTCCAACCACTTCCGAACTAAAGTTAACCGGTTCTACTTGTTACAGTAGTGCAGTTACGATGTAACACACTAACTTAGCGCTTTTTTCCGTTTCAAAAAATATCGATATCTCAAAAATCGCGACTTGTGGGGGGATCAAAATATCGCAATTTTGACCCTAAAAACCGGTCAGTTCTCGTTGTTTTTGTCTGAAAATCGATATAAGACTATTAATATAGGCTATATAAGTAATAATATTAGGAATACTATACCCCTCCGGGTTTGTTTAATCTCCGAATTAAGGTGCTTAACTCGGATATTCGCAGTTCGGTGAAGGGTCACTACAGTGCAGCACTGTCGAGCCCCCCACAGATTGCTATCCTACTTTTTGTACCAAAAGGGATACAAAACTTGTTAACGATACCCAACAGTCGATTGTAGTTGTCGTTGAGCCTCTTCCTGTTGTTCCCTGTACTGCTTGCCGGATCGGTCTTCACCCCGGACCCTTCCGAATTGAGCGCAAATCAGCTGACCCTTCCGGATTGGGCGCAATTTATCATTAACGTGCTTAAATGCTCAAATAACCCTACAGTACAAGCCCCACAAACGGGCTACAAAAATGATCTTAACGATCCTGACTGATATAAATGCCTGTAACAACAATATATCTATCAACAACAAACGGGGGGGTTGAATCACATCTTGTCTGGGGGGATGATTTCTACTGATTTTTTACTTTTTTACTGTTTTTGGTTTTTTCGGTTATTTTTTATGTTTTTTGTTTTTCTTGGATACTATACTATTTTTTGTTTGGTTTTGCTTATATCTTTAAGTGTTTTTGGTCACAAACCACTCAGGGGATGAGGGGTTCGCGATTCCCCCCACCCTTCCTGGTTCGTGAATTTTCGGTCTTAACTAGGTTAAAAAACTATTCACGGCAATCCGGAAGGCTTCCGCGTTCCGAACTACCCTTCCGCCCCGGCGGTTTAGGCCTAATAAGGGCGTTAATGTGAGCATCCGCTCGGCGCGGAATGCTCGTTAACGGTTCTGCCGGTCATGATGTTAAAAAAGAATAACACCCAGGAGCGCCATAAAAACATACATGTAACATTCGCCCGGAAGATACATATCGACGGATAACAAAACTAAGTCTTAAGACGACTGGCTAGCGTCTAAACAGAGCTTTGCATGTTTTTCACCGTCTCTACCAAGCCAGTACTTTTCGGTGGTCTTTCTTACATCAGGCTGACAAAAACGTTACTGTTCTCCGGCTTCGACCAGAACGCTCAAATTAACTGAATTACATGCAAAAATAGTGAGCTCATGGCTGGGTCTCAGTATCCCCAGACCACGAGGTCACTCCTAAAAACAGGGCTACTACTTATTATATTACTATTGTTTTTGTTCAGCAGATAAAAATCATCATCTCCATCGAAGATGGATCAACCCTTTCCCCCCTACTTCTAGCTCCTCATTCTTGTCAAAACGAATTAAGATCTTAATTAAATTCAAGTCAGGACATGACGGATGCTAAAATTCAATATAAGTTCATAAAAGTCCACGTCCCGAGACCCTTCCGGATTCTTGAATCCGGTGAATCAAGCTTCTTAATATCCAGTTCACAATAACTCGGAAGGCTGGGTTTTACCCTTCACCGTTGCTCGCAACGGCCTTGCAACTATTGTAACAGCACAATAGTTGCAACTCGGAACGTCCTCTGCTGTTCGGCAGTTCGTTGTAGTTTTTTAGTCTCGATTTCGTACTGTTCGTAATCGCAGATAAAAGTTGTTCTGTTTTTTCTTGCTCTTTCAGCTAAAAATGGCCGTTTCTGACGTTTCTCAGAAATATGACGTCATAATTCGAATTTTTAAAAATTAGAATTCCAGAATCTTCTAGCCTTCACCGTTTGGCTAATCGTTCAAACAACGTCCTTATCCGTTCTAAATCACCAATTCGGAAGGCTTGCTGCTAAAATACCGAATTCCGCAGAGACTGCATTTTGGCCATTCTGGTCGAATGTCACACACTGTCCAATAAAAAGTAACTTAACGGATTGTTCCGACCCTGTTTTTAACGGCGTTCGTGTATTTTGGGTATCTTGAGACCTAAGTATGGGGACGTTCTTATTTTCTAGAGTGGGGGGATATTTTGGTAGTAGCCTTTAAGCTGTAACGGGTTCTAGTCTCATGTCGCAAGCGAACCGAATTGGCTCCGACCGTTCTTGAGGTAGAAAAACACAAGAGATAGTGTCCCTGACTCTTGAGCCAATGGTTATAGGGCCTATTTTTCTTAAGCCTCATATGTGACCGAAGTAGGCGACTGTTACAACTGTTTCCATATTGTATCAGAAAAAGTAATTAAAATTTTTCTTAGGATCAAATCATTGGATCTTCGCTCAATACCTGGATCGGCTATTTTAGAGGGGAAAATGATCATTGCCCACACTTAAGCACTGTTTTTGATGAACGCAACTCAGAAATCACTTGAACTTTCACAAATCACTAGAAATATGCAAGTGTTCCCCCAGTTTTGAAGTCTGTGGAGATATATCTCTATATTTTATTTACCGCCCAATATCTATAACTAGCGATTTATGAAAAATATTGGAACGTTTACTATCAACAAAACTAATCAAAGTCAAGGAAATCTACAACATTATGTAATTCTCCCAATTCGGATTTTGGAGAAATACTCAACTCATAATTTCTTACTATACTACATTTAATCATGTACGTTTTTCTATAATGCATAGGTATCAACCTTGTGCGGTTTTTGAAATTATAGGGTGTTTTTACTGGTTGAAATGATGAAGGACGAGTTGCTTAATGCAACGAGAAAAATTCGTCTGCTTTTCGGTTCATCGGCTTACTACATTTCAGGGTCATTTTAATGAGCTTTTATGATTGGCTTGATTCTCAACCCTCTGACTCATTTTTTCTTCAATTTAACTTGACTTTTCCATTTTTTTGGAAAATTCCAATGTTTCTTTTTGACTGGACGAGATGATGAAGGATTAGTGTAGTAACTTCGGATACCATCATAATTTCTTACCCCCAAATATTTGAGAAGAGTAAGAGAAAAAAATTGACGAGGGATTAAACCACATTACTTCAGCAATTTAATTGTCCTACAGATTTTTTTCTTGTATAAAGAGTCATTGTCTTCCGAATTCTAGTTTTCAATATTTCGGTTTTTGCTGTTTTTTTATTTTTTTTAGCCAAGTACTAAAACACAAAATTTGAGTTGATAAAAAAAGCTCCAAATTTGAGTTGGAATCAACTTAGATTTTTTTTAGTTAATATTACAGAGCCCGCCCATCCTTGTGTTTTTTAGGGCAATTCTTATTTCCTAATAGCATAAGATAAAAATCAAATACTTGTGATGCGTCTGAATGATCAATCCATTCTTGTTTAAGAAAAATGAAAAGCTTGCGGCGACTTGTAACTAATACGACTACAAGATATTCACAAAGAAATATGTGCTCTAATGCGCAACATGAAAATCCAATACTTAACTATGAGTTTTATCTACGTCTTGAAAAGCATAAAAATGAAGATGCACATCGAAGTTCGTCTGGAACCCCTATAGATCCACGCAGTGCATTGCAAAACGAATTGCACGAGCAGAACATTAAACGCTGGGTTTATGATGCCAATACCAAGATCTCAATTGGATGGAAGCAACTTGAGTGGATACTGAAAAGTCAAATAATGTGTGGTTCTTATTCGCCTGTTGTCAATAGAGTCTCTGAGGAGTTTCTTGGAGAAACTACAGGAAACAACATAAAAGAATTTTTAAGCGAGTGTTATGTTTTTGATTGTAAAGAATACGAGAGGAGCATAAAAGTGCCGGCCGATCCAGACGACAGGTGGAACCCGTACTCAAAAAAAATGTTTCTGGATTATCCTGGTGAACAAAGACTAACGCGAAATATGTTCACATCTGTGTTGAAAAATGCATTGAATCTTTCTCGCGTCATATCAGCTGAAGCTTCTTGGTTAGTTTTGTCGATATTTTAACATCCCCACTGTGGGCACATTTAAGATAATTGTAACCTAAAGTTATCAGAGGTCCACGAAGCAATTTAGATGAGACAGGATTTCCAACCTAATCGTATCTTTAAGAGGTCGTCATGAGTTTTTTTCCTGTTTTTCTTGGGTTTGCTGTTTGACTTTTGCTTTCTTTTTAATAGTAGTTAAATTTGGTAGTTAATTGGGTTTAAATTTTATCAAACTTGTGTTGAAGAAATTCAAAGAGCTTGGAAATCCGAAAGTTAAGATGTTTTCAAAAAAGAAGTCTCTGTTCAATGTTTTCGCTGACTCTTTTCCAACTGTTTGTTGGCCATGTTTAAATCGTATCCTGCTCTTGTTGATTTTGTTTCTTGACGTGGTTTTCTCAAATAAACAGTCACGCAGACAAACTTTTTAGTTTTATGTAATTGTGGTCTTACAAAAATTTCTCATTTTTTCAACAGTGGCTTCACATAGATTTTATGCCTGCTGACTTACAATACTTTGTTTCTGTGGAGTGCAGCCAGTATTTAGACAGCCGCGTATTCATACTGGTCAGTATTTAGACAAATACTGTATGAACCAATCAGAATCGAGAAAAAACATAAATAATCCAAAATAAATAATAATTATTTATAAATTTCTTCTCTGTCTCGATTCTGATTGGTTGAAACAGTATTTGTCTAAATACTGACCAGTATGAATACGCGGCTGTCTAAATACTGACATGTAACCGTTTCTGTGATGTCTCCAGTGGTGCTAAGCTAACCTCTGCCTACGTGTAAAAAATTCAAGTTCATCAGCCTCTCCTGTACGCTTAAACTAGAGGTAATTATCTAGACTGGGACAGCAGACGTCCTAGGCTCGAATCCGACCAGGACCTGTTTTTTTATAGCATGTATTGCTTCTCATAGAAATTAATTAACGGGTGTCTGTCTGTGGCGCAGTTGCCACATCACGGACTTTGCGTTTTAGCAATTTGTTTTGAGTTGCAAGTGTTCAATTTCTTTTTTTTTCGTTTTTTCCTCAAGCTTTATTCAGACTATATGGTTTCGGTTGATTACACTTGCGATAGCAAGTGTATTGCAAGCGGGTACTAGACTGTTTTTCCCCCAAAACAACTTTATTCATAAAATGGTTAAAATTAGAAATGAAAAATTTGGGTTCAGTTACGAATTTCTTTGTCTCTCCGGTACACATAGTCTGGAGGTAACGAATACGCCTTGGACGGAAAAGGGCCTAGGTTCGAATCCAGGCAAGACCTACTTTTTTCTCCGATTTTCAATTTCAAAAAGTTTGTCGGCCTATCGTTTGTCTGATTATTGTAAAACTATGCGTTTTGAGGGCTTGGCTTACAATTAGCAGATTTTTTGTGCTGTAAGAATTTTTTGTTATAGTTGCTAGTGTGTTTGATTTACTCCTGAGATTTCTATTTTTTTTACCTCAGTCTTGGTGTTTTTTTTCGATTAAAAGATCCTTTTGGCCTAAATGGGTTCGTCATATGTTTTTATCAGATTTAAGCCCAATCTTGCGTCCTTTGATGAAAGCCATATTTATCACGCTCTTCATCCAGAAATACGTAAAAGCAAAGGTTATCTTAGATTTTCAGTCGCTCGACATTTTTCATTTAATAATATTTTGTTTTTGACTCAATGGGAGTTTACTCAAGTTTTATCGTCCTTTTAGCCGTTCGATAATTGTTTCGGCATTTTTGTTTAACGTTGGCAATTTAATTGCTGGAAGTGTTGTTTTTTCGACTTATTGGCTTTCGTTTCGTATTTGATTTCTGTACTCGCTTTGCCTCTTTGTAGATTATTGTATAGACAGGGGGCAAATTATTTGCGTCTCAACGGGTGTTTACTTAATTTTTGTCGGCTTAGCTGCAGTTCGATAAATGTTTATCGACACTTATTAAGCACCGGAAATTATGTTGCTGTTTGTGTTTTTCTCAAATTGATAATCTTTGAGACAAGCTCTTTAATTTTTTGGCTGAGGTTTTTTGATGCTAGCTTCAATGCTGATTTTGCGTGGTGTCTATAGTGGTGCGAAGCTCCGCTTCGACTCTTTGTGTTTACTTTTCTTAAAGCGAATTAACTTTTTCAGTAGCCAGTAACGATTTCATTTCAAATTGTTTTTTTTTTCTTGGTCAAATTTTAGTGGTCCGAGTGTTATGTGCATCTGTTTCACTCAGAAAATGCTTATCCTTGGCTTAGACTTTGTAAATGTTAGTTTAAATAATCTGTTCTCGTCCATTGTTGCATTTTTCAAATCTTTTTGTTACGACCACGACATGGATGGAACTATGGCGTAGGGTCCGTTTTTTCCAAACAGCATATTGAAGACCTGCTGGTCGGCTCTTGGTGATCAAAAAGTTGTCAGTGTCAAGAAAAACTGGCCTGAATGTTGTCTCGCCATCTTAATCATTGTCTGAAAAACTGGGCGAAATTTGATGAGAGGTTCAGGTTGATTGCCCAACTTTAAATCTACTACATTATTGAAGTTATTTGAATAATGTTCTTCATTTTTTCCCTTGCGAGAGCAACAGAGCTGATATCGGGAGCAAGACTTGTTTCCCCGTTAACAGATTTCCTTATAAATTTCTAAGAACCTGACATTGTTACACTTGCGAGATCAAGTGCCTTGGATATCATGAAACCTCATTAACTTCCAATATCTTTGCATTTTTTCTGGCGGCGAAGAACGACCGTGCCTGGGAAGCCGAAGGGCTGGTGTTCGAGTTCTGCCAGACTCTTCATTAAGCGTCGATTAAAATTGATTGTTTTGTTTTATGAAAAAGCCTCAATTTTGCTCACGCTTTAATTTTTTTGCGGTTCGATTCGTTTTTAAGGTAGTTATTTTCCTTAGATAAGTTGAAGGCAAACTAAATTATCCAACAACGGAAGCGGAAAGTTTGACTTGTAATTTCGAAAGTGGATTTTCCACCTGAATAAAAGTTTTAACTATTGATCCAGTTATTTCAAATTTAGTGATTTTTATCAAAAAAGTGTCATAAGTTGATCTTGAAATTCAAAGAAATTAAGCCTAAATAATGTTCACTTTGAAGTTGGAAAAGTCGAGTGTTTTTTTTCTGTTTCCTTGTGTTCATTGACGTTTTTCCAGCTGTATGTTGGTTTATGTGTTTTATGAGAAAACATGAATAGCCAGACTGTCGTTTGTCAGTTTAATTTTTGTCGGCTTCTTCCAAAGCATAACTTGCTTGAAGGCTCAAGGGAGTTTGACTTTTTCAGTGTCGTATCTTAACTGGGCAAAGATGCGAGTAGTTTATGTATATTCCAGGCAACTATGTTTCTTGACCCGTTTTCCTCAAATGGAACATCTTTTGAGACCGAGTTTTGGAGATGCAGTTTTTTTTACCTAGTGGCTTCCGTCTCATTTTCTATCCACTAGATTGCAATGCTATGTGGGTGTGATATATCGCAAGTGTGTTGAATTTTTCCATAAATCTGTTTTCTTGGCAATACTTTTGGCCGCATCAACTGGCTATCCGTGTCCGTGATTCTCTCAATAGTTTTTTTTTCATATTTGAGTCATTCTTATGGAGGATAGTGACCGGATAGTGAGGACATTTTTGAAACTAAAAAATGGTGTTAACTCATATTTTTACAAGTTAATTATTTTTAAAGGATGGATCTCTGTTTATTTTAGTCGGACGTTCACTTCGTTTGACTCACCAATTCAAACTATGTACGATAGAGGAAATATGAATTCGATTCTTCTACGACAAGATAACTGTCTAAATTTCATGTCCTCGAAATGTCTTCCTCTAATCAGCAACAAAGAGGAAGTGAAATCAACAGAAAATTACAAATTTGATGATTTCTATCCTCTAAACCCGCTTTTGGATTTCAAATTTACTGATTTGTACAACGATTACGAGTCGTTCGGCGTCGCAAGCAAAGAGTCGAAAGATGAATTCTTCCCTCATACTAGCTTTTTACCGGCAGTCACAGCAAAAAGCGACAGAATGCAGTACGCGGTTTGTTTTATCGCTTTTTCAAACGCTCTAACGAAAGCCAGACATCTGTATGGTTCAGAAGAGTTAGATTTGGAAACGCCTATTGTGGCACAGTGTGTTGGTAGTACAGGGTTTGATCTTCATTTTGCGACTTGTCAATTAAACACTACCCGATTTGGAGATGACGAAGGCGTGAAAAATATGATTTGGGTTCAGCCTAATATTTCTTTTTACAAATCGGTGAGAAGGGAGTTTGATTTGCTCGTTGATGGCTATAACGCATCGGCTGGTTTGACGTTAATGGCACATGTTATGAATGGCTTAGTTAATGATGTAAATTGACATTTTGAGTTATTTGTGTTTTGTGTGTGAAAAAAAAACAGGTTTGGGAAGGGTTAGAGGCTGTATTTTTGAGAGGAAGTCCACTGGGCGAAAAGCTTTTACCCAATTAGATAAGTCTCATTTGCTTGAGAAAGTCATATTGAAAATTTGATGTGTCTTATTGTGACACAAAGCATAGCTACGATTGTTGTTTTTACTTGAAACACTTAACGAGAGCATTTCTGACTGTTTCTTGAATTAAAAATTGCTAAGTGAAACGTTTAAATGGATTTTATCCGGGAAGATTTTCCCTTGGAAAGGTTAAGTAAACAATTTTAGATGAACTGAATTATCGTGGACAATTTGCTAAAAGTATTCCCAATACAGTAGAGTGTCGTGGATGGGTTACGGTTCATTTTCCCCTCTGTTCTGGCTGCCAATCTTTTTCAAAGGGTCGGGTCTTAAAATGCCAGACCAAAATTAAAAATTTTTTCAAGACGCTTTTTGCACCAATATTATACTAATTTTCCTTGATACTTTCGTCGTGTTTAGAAAATTGCCATGCAGGTCACTTCATCAAATAAGTTTGAAAAGCTAGAAAGTTAACCCAATTATGCAATGGAGTTTTAGAAGACTCAAAATCGAAACGAACTAAAGCAGAGAAATTGTTCCGAAAGAAAGAGTTTTCTAAACACTTGATGATCAACTTGCATTGTAATCTTGGTGGTTAAAATTCGACTTCTTAATGTGCATTTGATCGGACATGAAGCCGAATTCAAATACTCTTAATTTTTCAGCATCAAGATTGCTTTTCGTTTTCGATCAGTAATTGTTTTCGTTTTACTGAATCTTAATTAAAGAAAGAAGAGAGAGAGAGAGAGAGAGAGAGAGAGAGAGAGGGGAGAGAGATAGATAGATATACTATTTATCCAAGAATATAATTCCTAGAATTTGACTGGTTAACTTATACTTGCGTGTCTTGTACTCGGGAACGACTTTTTTTTCTCGTAAACAATTATTCTTACAAATCTTTAAGAAATTGAACTAGCGCTTTTATTGAACTTGATCAACTTCCAGGTTCCTTCTCACTTGGCCTAAAGGTAACTGCACCCTAAGGTCTGGGGTTTGAGTCTTGTGCGGACCTGGTTTTTCAGTATGTATGAAATTAAAAGAAAAATTTTCCTGCAAAGTTTGAAGTTTCAGACTTGCGTTTGTGCGTTTTAAATTTCTCGGCTCAGTTGCCACATACTGAAATTTTCTTGTGCTGCAAGCTAGTGTCCTTGTAGTTGCAATTGTTAGTACGAATCTTCTTTTTAACTAATCTAACTCGCAAATAAAAGCGTTCATCAAAGTTTTTTTTAATTTGGTTGTGGTTGCTTTTTTTTTTTTACTATAACCACAATCTGTAGAATTGCAATTTCGTAGCATCTGTTCTCTGCTTTACTTTTGGCTAGTATTTGTGATTTATTAGGTGTCCGTTGCTGAGTGGTTGGTGCTCGAGACTCATAATGTCTTGATCGCAGATCGAATTCGACACGTATCCGAGCTTTTACTAACTTGAAGTTTATTTATACTTTTTTCTATTGCACTTTATAGAGCTGCTTTTTTCGTGTTCTAGATAGTGTTTGCGAAGCTCAGCTTGGCCTCTGTGTAAGTTTTTTTCCGTTGCTAATTTAATGTTCAAATGTCTTGCTTGTTATGTCTTGATATGAAAAATGTCTTGATATGAAAATTTTCAACTTATTTTTTTTTTCAGCGTTTTTCTTTTTTGACATGATTTGATGTCAAAGAGTCGATGAACGTAGTGAAGACTCTTGTATAGCTTTTTGTGATTTTTGCTGGATTTTTGTGTTGTATAGCAGATCCGCTTCGCCTCCGTGTAATATGTGTTTACAAAGAAAAAAGGAACAAATATTTTGGGTGCTAAGATATAGTACGCATTAATTGGCGTTTCCCGCTAATCAAGTAGCTGCGGCAGTTAACAAACAAAGTTTGTAAGATAAAAATTGTGACGTTGCGACCGAATGAACAAATCAACTAATAGAAAAGAGTTGGGTAAATTTTGAGATAGAAATAGAGTAAATTAAGAGGCAGAACAAAATAAAAAGGCGGAAAAAAGAGTTAAAAGTTCATTATATATTAATTTGCAGTCAGAATGCATAAAACAAGGCAAATTTATGGTTTAAAGATTCTCGGCTTGAATTTTTTTTCTTTATGGGGGGTTTAATTTCAGATTTTAACTGTCGGAATTTATTCACATTAAATTGGCAAACAGAAGACCACAACAGAAAGGGAGCTTAAAATGCTGACAAATGGTGCTAACTTCACAATCGAACACATGTGCAAAGGAGAGACAGACTGCATCATACTCCCGAGTAAACAAACAAACAACAATACCTGCACCACTTCATGTACGGGAGAGCCACCTGGGAATATCTCAGATTCACATGTGTATATTCCAGTAGGGGATGATTACCATCTGGTTCTGAGACATAACCCGAATACCCGAAAACAAAAGCCATTATCGGTACCAACAAAATCTCACCCTCATACGAAGAACGCTGCGAAATGGTCAGGTCACCAAAATAGTACAGGTACAATATCCTCGTGTATTATTCAGCCGACAAAAATACCAGAGAAATTGATAACAGATATGGAATGCGAAGATAGGAAAAAGTTCGCAATTTTGACCTCTGATCAGTTCCAAAGGTGTCTGTACTTGAATACGAAGGATATTCTATCTATTGGAGGTCAAGATATTTATTGCGTTGGATGTCGCACAGGTGTCGAGGCATTACTCGATAACTTCAAACAGTCTTCGCTTTCGAATCTCGAAAGATTCGAATCAATTGGCTGCTCCAAGTTCAAAATGCTGCTTAACTATTGTGATTTGACCTCAGATGTTATGTTTTATCACATAGGCATAGCGAAAGCTAGAGTGAAAGAGATAATTGACAGTTTGCCCAAGAAAAAACACAGGTGTGTATATCATTCGTCTGGATATGATTTGGCGAGTAACCGGGAGTCGCCGATTCAGTGGAACGTCCTATGGGAAAACACGACGCCTGAATGCAGGAAAGAGATACTTCGCATATCTGAATCGGAACTGAAGCAAAGTCAAGAAATGTATATAAAGAAACACAAGTTCTGCGATGACTGTCAATACCATCTATCAAATGCGTTCAGGTTACTATTCGAGCGGGAGAATGGAAACAAACTTGAAGACTTCAACGCCGAAACATACCAGTACCTGTCTATCGAATCCTGCACGACATCAGGAGAGCGGTTTGTGTGTGTATCCCCAGAAACAGGAGTTCTCGCCGAAATGATGGAGCGACTCAAAAATCAACTCAACACGAGTAACCCGAATGAAGAACGTCACGCGAGGACTCTAGACGTCGCCCAGAAAGAAGCCGTTCTGTGCATTGCTATGTTTCTCTACAAAAGAGTTCAAACTGTAGTTATGAAGTTCTCAGGTTTTGTAGCTTGTGTGGAATTGTTGCCGCACATGATTTGGTCGACCTTCAGAACCCAACTTGAGCGAGAAGTGGAAGATATTGAAGGTCAAATGCAGATTGAGAGAACGTTGAAAGAGTTGGCCCAATTGGATGCAAAACAAGCAGCACAGAAGGAACGAAAGCGTGAAAAGAAACGAAACCGGAAGATAAAGCTGAAACAATTGTATGAACAGAACTCAGATGTCACTAATGAAGACTGTGCTGTTGAAGGGTGTCAAAATTGCGAATCTGAAAATAGTTTACTAAAAGAGCAGCAAGAAAAACATCAGCTGAAAAAACGAAGGGACAGTCTGTCCCCACCGGGTTCCCAAAATTTGTCAGATGGGGGTTACTCGACAAGTGAAAGTGGAAACAGCCCAAGATATGATGACAATAGGACCTTGGTCGGGAACTTCAATCGGCGGAAAGGCGACAAAATTAACACGAGTAGCAGCGGTATTTCGTGTTCGAGTAGTCCCGAGTCTTCGAATTCACCGAACTCGACTAACAGTTCGTCGCCGACAAGAGTAAACCTGACAAAGTGTCGTGGAAAAAGTGAGAAAAATATGAAACAGAAGTTGTGCAGAAATGACTCTTTGGAAAGTATGTGCAAGAAATCAACAGAAATATTCAAATCATCTCCTGAAACATCAAAACACTGCGTGGAGGAAACATTATGTTCCATAACTGATTCGGCAAGTATGGCAAAATCGATGCAAAACTTATCAACGAAAACGGTGAAAGAGCTTTCAATAATCGTGAATGATAATCAGAAAGATAATCGATGTTCAGATTCAGAAACAAAGGACAAGAAAATATCTCGCAAAACGGAGAAAGTGATTTCGTTGCTCGAATATGACAGCAAGTTGACCTCTATTTCTAACAAGTCGGTCGAAAAGAAAAATGCGAAGAACAAGAATAAACCGACTAAGAAGGATTCGAAAGATGACGAGCAACAAATACCCCAAAATGAAATCGACGAGTTCAAACTGAAACACACGGATTACATGAAGCAGCGACAGAACATTCGGGAAAAAATCCGAGCGGAATTTGAATGCAAACTGAAAACGAACGGATTGGTGTTGTAGCGCTGGAAAAAACAACAACAAACGTGGAAAAGCAGCACAAAATATAATCAATTTTGTTATCATTCTCCAACTGTAGGAAACTATTCTAATTTTGGGCCCTGAACTTTCCCCTGGAATGCATGAAACGATTTTGAAATTTAATTTGGGAACCCATGTCGCAATTTAGACATAGAAGCATCTGAAATCGCTTCTTAATGAGCATCCAATTCGTTGCTAAGTGCTTACCAACTGTCGTCAAAAATGCAGCAAAACTTTATATTGTTCCGTTAAAGTTCTAGTTTTGTTATTAAAGGCTTCAGAATTAAGTAGTACCCTAATTTGTAATTAGCGAAAACCCCAACGCAAACTGAAACAAACGTGTATACCACCAATTACCGTTCCTTGAAAAATAATTTATATTTGATAATAATAGCGAAAATGTAAACTATAGGCGTACTTTGTAGATAACAACTGTAAAATCTCGGCGTAACTGTTTGAGAATAACAAGTTAGCTTACAAGATCAAAGCTCAAGTTATCTTCAAATCGATTGAATGAGTTTTTGATGGTTAATTTTATCGAAAACTCATCAGTCGGAAATGATGCGCTGAAATTGACCTATTTTTAGATATTAGCGAAAAAAAAACAATTATGAATGGTTAATTTAACTTTGTTTTAACTTTTTTGTTCCTTGAGAAATCAGAATGAAAATCGGGCGCTTGGTAACATTGGTAGGTTTTTGCGGCAAATATCCTCTGAAGTTTGAAATCTTGTACTGTTACTACTTTTTCGTACTTATTTGATTGATACTTATTTATCAATGTATGATTGAACCATCTTGTGGGGTTTTTAAGAACTTTTTATTTAGGATACGAATTGACTTTTATTTAAATTCAGCGAATAATGGCTTTCAAATGTCGCATTAACTTTTGCAATTTAACTGTTCAAGTTAGCTGATATATAATGGAAGGTTCCTGTGAAATGTTCGCGACCGGTTTATTCTCAGTTTCAATTGCTGGACCTGCGTGCATAAAATATGGATAAATGAAATGCTTGTAAAACTAATCTAAAAAAATGAAAGAAAAATGTTTAAAAATTTTAATTTAAAAAAATAATAATAATAAATTAATATTTTTCTTTATTAAATGAAACAGAGTCAATTAAAACTCTCACCAATTAAAATTCTCGCCAAGCACAGAAAGCAACTCAAGTTGAACAAAAGAAAGAAAACATAATTTGTTTTAAAAATTGGTCGGATTTTTCTGTGCTTCTTGCACCGCAACCGGCATGGTTCATTTGCAAATCGCATGCTGTGATAGCTCAATTTGGTGTACATGAAATATATGATCACACCTTGGAATTTTGAAAAATCTTTGTCGTCTTAAATTGTTGTAGTCTTTTTTATTAGAACGCATTGAGATTCGTTTGATTGACGTAGGTCAGACTCTTATATAGGTCGTGATTATTTTTTTTCCTTTTTTTTCAGAAAAAGCCTCAAAATTCGTTCAGGCTCAAAGTTTTGCGGTTTGACTTTTGATTTGTTTTTAAGTTTAGTTCCTTTCCTTTGTAATTTTCACTGCCGAACAGCAAAAGTATAAAGGTCACGAAAAATTTGATCGACTTCCAGCTTAGAAAATGGAATTTAATTTTTGGATTTCCCAGCCAAATAGATAATTTACTTATTGATCGAGTCATATTGTATTAGTTTTATCAAAAAGTGTCAATCATAAATTGTTTTATAAATTCAAAGAGCCATAAGGCCATTTTTCTTTGAAATTCGAAAGTCGAGGTTTTTTCAAAAAAAATTATGTCAGTATTATTTTTTGTTTACTTGCGTACATGACTCTTTTCCAACTGTCTGTTGGCTATGCTTTTTTCCTAAAACTTGTAGCTATCAAATATGCTAACCTGCCATAATTTATGTTGAACGAATGCCAGAATGGTTAAGAGGTTTTCTAGAGATGTATAATAGATCTTAACTCGTAACCTATGCGATAAGCAAGGGTATCGTAGCGGGATTGTGGAGTTTTATCCATTTGCTTTTCAGTTAACTTAATTAAATTGTTGAGTTCCAGCAAAGAATTCTGGCCGTTTGACGCAAGTAACATTCTTGCTTGGGCTGACAAAGGCCAATGGTTCGAACTATGCTTTTTGAAATTTTCTGCTTTGAAAACATCAATATTCGGACTATCGTGTCTGGTTATTTTGATTGGCTAAATTAGACAGCTAGTGCTCGGAAACCATGTTTTGAAATGCCTTGAAAAAATTGTTTGTTTTTTGTAAACTTTTATATAGTCGATTTGTAAGATTTTTGCGAGTAATTAGGAGACATGAATGAGTAGAGTTTCATGTATTTGTTTATCGTAATTACTTTTTGTTTTGGTCATAGACTCTGAAAAATTCTCGTCTGAAATAAAAAAAGATTTTGGCTGAGTTTGTCAAATAACCATTTATAACTGATTTGATGAGTGAATCGTGGCTAGTAACAAAAATAGTATAGAAAACTATGGCATTTTTGCAAAGTATTTTTTTTGCGTTTTTAAATTGTGTATTGTGGTTTTATTTAATCGCAGTTTGGGCTAATTTCTCGTTTTTCCGGATTTTCAAAGAATAGTCTTGAGATGCAAATTTTCTTTGATCGGTTTTATCTCTCAAACAAATATTAGCAGCAATCTTCTATTTTACCGTGTTTTTTTTTCAAATATGACTAAATTTTGTATAAATTTTAGAAACATTTGTGTTCGTGTAATTAGCTATACTATGCCATCTTTTTTCAACTAATTAGGCTAGCTCTCTAAAGTCTCAAGGTGAGAACAAAAGATATCAGATTTATATTGTTCCTGTTTATATAGTTCCTTGTCATGTAGAATTTAATCTTACTTTTGCAAGCAGCTTCCGCTGCTCTGGTTATGCTAATTGTTCCGACCACCATAGCTAGGTAGAAACTTTTGGTTATTTTGGTTGTTGCGACTACCAAAGCTGGATAGAAGTTTTGCGTTTCGGTTTTTCTTTCGATATAAAATCAGGTAACACGAATCAATATCAGAAAGGAATCGAGCTCAATTTAAAATTGCCGAACTTTCTTTGTTTCAAAATCCCAGCGAAAAGAAGTTTGCTAATGCTTTCAATTCTGCTTTTTTCTTGCCCCGACTTTCGAAGAAGCGTAATATCTATGCTTGGGATGGGTTTTTATTCAATCAATTTTCGGCTTTTTAACTCAACATTTTGACACATTTTTTGCCATCTAAAAACATTGTTGTTTTGAGGCTCAATTTTAAAAATTTATTCCACCTGTGGTTGTTTTAGTGAAGTTATGGGGCTTTGAAAACGCTAATTTGGCCAATTCGGGATAATTAACGCGCGACATTTTACGCTCTTATAACACGCGTAAGCGGCGTATGAATGTGTTTCAAATTGAATTGAGGCAGGTTAATTTGTTTTAACCTTAGGACACAAGAAGCTATGTTCATTTTTTGTAGTTAACGTTAACGTGCGACGGGATAATTGAAAGAATAAATGGAAACCATTTTTTCCAATTATTTTGTCAATTTTTCAGCCAAAAAACTTTTTAATTGGCCTAAACTACTCTAACAACATTGAACGCTTTGCCCTGATATACGAACAGTCTTGCTCACTTTCAACACTGAATTTGCATATAATCAAGCGCTAAATTACATCAGATTTTGAGGATATTAATACAAGCTCAGGTAATTTTTACATACCACCTTAAAACTGATGTTCTGAGCTCAAGTGATTTCTCTTTTGGTCATATGCCGTAACGTTAGGGTGCTTGAAAATTGCCAATTGGGGATAATTACTGAGGTATTTTTACCAGCTTAGTTATTACGCGCAGTCGAAATAATCCGGCTTTTTTTCGAAATTGTGCCGACCTAAGAACTCAAAACATGGTATTGAGTTTTAATTTATCGTCGCAACATGGCTTTAAAAGATCAGAATTCTTTGTTCTGATTTGTTTCAAGATTGATTATATCGTGAGAAGAGATTATTTGTTTGAAGAATGACTTAGGGCTTATAAATCTAGGATTTGTAGTTATTCGGTAACACAGCGCAATCATGTTTCGTTTTATGAAGGGCGAGCTGCGGGATACATAATATAGTGACCTCTTAGATTATCCGCATTATAAACGTTTTAAGGTGTTAAATTTACCATCTGCTTGAGTTCAAAAATCAAAATTTTGAAATCAAAATTTTTGGGGCTGTCATTTGGTTTCAAATATTCAATTCCAGCTGATGTCGACTACAAATATAATCATCCAATTTTGTTTGAAAATATGATATAACTTCAGCGTCTGAAAAAATATGCCCCATGTTTCTGACAAGTTTCTAATCATTGAGGTTTTATTACTGCAATAAATTGGCATTTTTATTGACACCGCGCCATCTAGGGTACATTAAAAGCAAAGCAAATTCTGTTTTTTTTGTCCTTAGTTTTTCAAAGCACTTTAATCTTTATTTGTTTTCAGTCTGCAGTTTGCAATTGAAACATGTAAATTTTATTGCTTCAGGGTAAATTGAGCCCTTTTTTGTAATCGAAAAGGGAAGTGCGTTGATGTATGCATTACATGTAAGATTTTTCATTTCCTCCTGTGTTAAGAGAATAACACCATTAATATAATTCAACCTCGAGGCGATGTTTCTGAGCTATTCAGTCCCAGAAGAGTTAGAGGCATTTCATTTTTATTTGCGTCATTTAGAAATTTTCTGGGGGCTTGTCACAAAATTAGGGTGAAAATTTCTGGTAATTGTTCAAAAAAATTAAAAAGAAAAAAAATAAATAGAATTTTCAAAATTACAATAGATTCAACACTAAAATTGTGCAATCAATTTTTTTGTTCCGGTGGCCGCGGTTTTTTTTCACTTTTCTGTTGTGTATATTAATTTTACTTCACTTTTCCAGGATGTTAATTTGATCTAATGTTTTTTGTTCCTGTACCGAATTGAACGCTTTGATGTTTTTCTCTCAGATCGTATTTGTTGTTTTTGTCTTAATTATCAATTTACGGCCATTATTTCTCAAGTTTCCTTATGATTTAAATGGATATTCAATTGGTTTTGAATAGGTGGAGTTTTAAAAATCAGTGTTTCAAAGCAAATTAGCTTTTTCATTGTGGAAAAAAGAATCAATTTGTTAATAGCGAGTTGACCTCTTATCAAGTTAAATTTGAATTATAGGCTGACATCAGTGGGTCTAGGAAAACAGGCCGACGGGACTTCAAGCCAAAGGAACTTCAGTTCGAAATTTGAACTTTACAAGCCCGTTGATTTTCAAAAATTTAGGCAAGTTTATGAAAACTCCAATAACTAGTGAAGAAAGATTATGAAATTCAGAAATTCTTCAATAAAATTTTCAAATTAATCATATTTCACAACTTAATAAGAAAATATTCGGCTAGAAGTCCCTAGTCTTACGATTCGGCTTGAAGTCCCGTCGGCTTGATGTCCGGTACCCGACAACAGTACGTCCTGTATCTTGTCAGGAAAGAATGAAACGTGACCAAGTTCGATTTTAAAGGTCGTTTCTATTTTTGTACCCTTTTTTCTACTCCAAATTCGCCTCAAAAAACATCCGATTGACCGCTTGGAAAATTTAACATGACAACACTGCCTTAAATAGATGAAAAGGCTGTCAAATAAATAAATGGGTTGTTTTTGGTGGTCGCTGAGGCGTCGTGTTAAACAGTTATTTGAGATAAAATGCCAGAAATCCTGGACTTACTGGAGCTGTTTTTACGTGTAAACAACATGATAATAAATACAAATATTAAGATTTTAAAAAATCTTTTTTATCATTAAACGGTTGTTTAAACGGTCTATTACAAAAAAATATATATTTTGACTCAGAAATCAATAAATATTGAATTTGGGCAGAGAATTTTGTGTAATTAAACTTGAACTAAATTTCTGATTGAATGGCATTGGCTGCCTAATTTTTCGTTCTGCTTTTTGAATTACTTTATTCTGTTGAACCAACTTGTCGCGAAAAGGTCAAGTTCATAGTTCTTCTTTCAGATAGCTGTATATGTCCTGTAGATTAGCCCCTCCCTACAAGTTGATTTGTTACACCGAATGAAGTGCTCGACAACATTGACGAAATTAAAACAGTTGCCATTACGTTATAGCCTTATTTCATCATCATTTCATATTTCTTTTTACTCTTGTAGTTTAGGTTGTCTTAGATGGCATTACAAGTATCAGTTTAAAAACAACCACATAAACTTCGCCGAATTTCGTGACAATGCTTTACTGAAAAATGGAATAAACGTTGATTGATATCATTTGGTCAAAGTATTGCACTCGGTTCTATTGGCGTAAGACTTGCAATAAATTTTAAACAGCTCCCTGAAATGCTGTGAATTAAGATTTCACGCTTGAAAAATTTCTTTACAGGTCAAGTAACAGGGATGGAATTTATCCTGTAATTTGATACGACTAAAGCTGCCATCAGAAATTGCTACCATTGTTGTATTATCTACATTCAATTCAGCCACCAGAATTGGTGTGAAACTCAATAGACTATTATTGGTTACTTGTTCCTTCATTTAATATTGTAGCAGTATAGCTTATCTTTTTTCTCTGATTCGTTTTCTTCTTTCTCTCTTGTTGTCAATAATATCTCGAGATATCTTTCAAAGGTGCTAGATTGTCCTAATAATAAGACCCTTTTCCATTATTTTAGTTACTCTGCTTCCAAACGATTTCTTTTTGCAATCAAATTGAACCGAATACATCAAGGAAGTTGAACTTTTGTTACATGATTTGATATCTTTTTGATGCAATTATATTCACTGTTGATTTTTTCAGTTTCTAATTACGAAGACCTATAAATACTCATATTCTACTTTTATTTCCTCTAAATCATCTAAACATTATTAAAAAGCGACCTTTTGCCTCTTTGCAAGTGTCATTTTGTTTCTTATAAATCAACAAAATGCAAAGATAAGGACGACCAATGCAAAAGGTTATGCTATGAATTAACAAACCAAGTAGAAGGCGAACTTATTTAAATTCTTTGAATTGGTAATTTAAAGTTTACTTGGTAACAGGCCTGAAACTTGTATAGATTGCTGTTAAATTGCAAAGGTGCTTCTCGTACTTGGTCATAATTCCTAGTACCACTGATAAGTTATCAATCTACTGATTCGAGTCGACTGAATTTACGGTTGGTTAGCTTCTGAAATAGATTTATCTTCTCGCGCTATTCTGGCTAGTTATAGCTGGTTACTAACCTTACTTATCCTTGTCTTTCAATTTGATCTGGTTACTCTAACCCTGGAAAGGATATCTGGATTTTGGAACTGTTCTTCAGTTCTGTTCAAGTAGCCATGCATTCTGGGGGTCCCTCGATGACCAACTCTGCCGGTCTACCCCCTCAACCGCCAGTTGACAACACAAAAGCCAGAAAAACCAAGGTAACTACGTTATTTTTTTCAAAACAAATTTTTTTCGCACAAGTTGGAGGTCAAAGGATTCAGAGTAATGAACATAGTGAAGACTCTTATATAGGTCTTTTTTAAGGAAAAGCCTTAAAAGTATCTAATACTTACAGATGTGCATTCATACCTATTGATGCATTTATGAATGCACTTAGGTGTATATGCACTTTTTGGGTTCAATTGAAATTCATCTGCAGAAGTGACGTAAATAGCACTCTCCAAAGACGAACATAGGAGTGGCGCGAAAAAAAAAACGTGAACGATTTCTAGTTTCGAAAGTGGAATTTATTTTTCAGATTTCCAGCGGAATAAAAACGTCAATTATTGATCCAGTTTTCTCTAGTTGGTGTGACGTTATCAAAAAAGCGCTCATCATAAATTGTTCTAGAAATTCAAAGAGCTTAAAGGGTATCTATTTTTTTCTTTGAATATCGAAAGTTGAGATATGTTCAAGAAAGTCAGTGTTTTTCATATGTTTACTTGCGTTCATTATTCTTTTCCAATCTTCGATTGGCTATGTTTACTAATTGTTCCGCTCATTGAAAACGGGAAGGAACGTTGTTTCTGTTTTTTTTTGTTCTACACGCAAATCAGCTACCACAAATAATGATCAGAGAGAGTTGAGTGGTATATCATATTGAAGCTTTTTCAATCATATCAATTGAAGGTATATCATTTAAAGATCATGATTTCAAAATACATTCAAAACATTTTCATATTGTCGAGAATAACTGGTTTGTTTTTGATTTTTAGTTTGGTTTTGAGCGAAAAACGCGATCGAGTAACGTTCGTTATATGGAATTTTTTTTTTAAATAGTTAAGGCTCACAAAACTTGATTTTAATATCAAGAAGTTTAGATTTGTATTTTTTCAGCGCTTATTTGGCGATAAAGATTTGCAAAAAATTAAAACTTTTGTACAAAAAAAAAATTAATTTTGTTTTCATCTTTTTTTGATATTATTTTTTTGAAAACAAATTAGTCGATCATGCCTTCTTCACTAGCTCTCTACGCGATTGGTTAGTTATCGGATCAACCCATCCTTTAAAAACGAAACCAATTTGAAAAAAAATATTGATTTTTTTTATGAATATGGTCGGAACATTATGTGCTACTTGCACAGCAACCGGTCATTTTTGTTTTCTTTTTTTTTCTATGTAAAATCAGTTTCCACAAATATGCATAGCAACGGGCTATCCTTGTTTTGTTTTTTCTTTTCGAAGCAAAAACAGGTCCCGCAAATGTTCATCTGAATGGGTCAAGTGATAGATCATATTAAAGCTCTTTCAGTCGTGATCTGAGCGACATCAAAAAGTGTTCGGAAACATTTTCTCAGTATCGAGAAAAACAATTTTGAAATTTCTGGTTTTCGGTTTGATGTCAACCTTAAGGTTAGCGTGCAAGCTTATGATAGCTTATTTGTGCTGAGTGTAAACGTGAATTGTTTTCTTATTTGAGTAAACTAGTTTTTAGAGTTTTTAGCGGCAATTTGGGAATCAAAACTTTTAAATTTCCAAAAATGGTTTCTAATTTTTTTAAAAACTTTTTCGTTTTGCTAATCAATAAAAAAAAAATTTTCCGTCTGGCTTTTTTTACTATGACTTTCGATTATGACTAAGTTATTTGGTTTATTCCGATTCTTTTTATCACACCACGCAGAAAAATTGACACTTGTGAACATGTCAAAAATCACAAGTTTTATAAATTTTTTGTTTTCCTAGTCATTTCTCTACAAAAACGTTTTCCAATTGGCCTATTTTACTATGACTGTCGAACACGCCTATATTCTGTTTTTTTTTTGTTCAGTTGTTTTCATCTACCGCGCAGAAAAAACGACATTAATATGAAAAATCTCTGCTACCCTCGCAGCAACCGAATATCCTGGTTGTTCCGACCATTTGAAAAACGTGGAGGAACTTTGAATTCGGGTTTGTTTCTTTTTCGTTTTCCACGAAAAATCAGGGACTACAAATAATCTTTGGCCTGGGTTGTGTGATATGTCATATCAAAGCCCCTTCAATCGTTATTCAATCGAATTGGAAAATTTTTCAAAAATTTTCCTTATTTCGAAAAAAAAAACGTTTGAAATTTTCAATTTTCTGTATTATTTCGAGCAAAGCGCAGCGAGCTGGCTTAAGACTGCTCATAAGCTGATATATGCCTAATTTGAGACGTTGTAACTCAATTTTAAGCAAGTAAAAATAGTTCTTGGATTTTTTTTAGCTTTATTTTGGGAACCAAAAACTTCGAAAAACTCAATTATTGTTTTTGTTTCTTAGTCATTTTTGTGCAATGTTTTTTTTTGTTCAGATGTTTCGATCTAACACGCCTAAAAATCGACACTTCAATGAACATTCTCTGCTACTTTCCTACCTTTTGAAAAATGGGAATTAACTTTGTATTCGGGTTCGTTTTTTTTCTTCACGCTAAATCAGGTGCTACAAATAATCATCGGACTGAATTGAGTGAGTGATATATTATTTTAAAGCCCCATCAATTGTGATTTGATCGAAAAATATTCCTGGTTTCGAGAAAAACCGGTTTGAAATTTTTGATTTTTCGTCTTAGTTCGTTTTGAAGAAAAACAATTTGGAAAAAAAATTTTGTTCTACTTTTTTTTTCCCAGTTTTTTTTCTTCGAAAACCTTCCTCAATTGGCCTATTTTATGATGGTTTTCAAACACGCCTACGTACTATTTCGGTCAGATGTTTTTATCCTCCACGCAGAAAAAGTGACATTAGTGTGAACATTCTGTGCTACTTGCACAGCAGCCGGCTATCCCTATTTTTTTTTATTTCCCACGTAAAATCACGTCCCCCAAATTTTCATCGGGCTGGATCGAGTGATATATCCTTTTAAAGCTCTTTCAATTGTGATTCGAGCGACATCGAGATGTTTCCGAAAAATTTTTCTCAGTATCGAGAAAGATAGTTTTGAAAATTTCGATTTTTGGTCTTAAGTCAACCTTATAAGGATAGCGGGCAGGCTTGAATAGCTTGTTTGTGCTAAGTTGAAACGTGAATTCTTTGTTTTAATTTAGTAAAGTTTATTTTTGGAGTTTTTAAGCGCCAATTTGGGAATCAAAAAATTTTAATTTCCAAAAACTTTCCAATTTTTTTTTAATTTTTCGTTTTGCTAATCATAAAAAAACTTTTTCCGTCTGGCCTATTTTACTATGACCTTCGATTATGCCTAAGTTTTTTGGTTTTTTCCGATTTTTTTATCACACCCTGCAGAAAAGTTGACACTAATGTGAACAATCTGTGCTACTTGCACAGCAACCGGCCATCCTTCTTTTCGTTTTTTTTTTGTTTTCCACGCAAAATCAGGTTTCCACAAATATTCATGTGAATGAGTCGAGTGATAAATCATGGTAAAGCTGTTTCAGTCGTGAGTCGTTCGATAACAAAAAATTTTCGAAAACTTTTTTCAGTATCGAGAAAAACAATTTTGAAGTTTTTGGTTTTGTCTAATGTCAACCTTTTAAGGTTAGTGGGCAGGCTTTAATAGCTTACTTATGCTGAGTTCAAACTTGAGTTCTTTGTTTTATTTGAGTAAAGTCAACTTTAACTGTTTATGGCGGCAGTTTTGGAATCAAAAATTTCATATTTCAAAAAGTTTCGACAAGTTTCTTTGAATTTTTTTTTCTTTTTGTTTTCCTCTTCATTTTTCTTCAAAAACTGCTTTCCAATTAGCCTATTTTACTGTAACCATCGAACACGCCTACGTTCTGTTTTTTCGTTCAGATATTTAATTTTACCACGCAGAAAAAATGACATAGTGTGAACGTTCTGTGCTACTTGCACAGCAACCGGCTGTCCTTGTTTTCTTTTTTTTTGTTTTCCACGCAAAATCAGGTTTCCACAAATATTCATGTGAATGAGTCGAGTGATAAATCATGGCAAAGCTGTTTCAGTCGTGAGTCGTTCGATAACAAAAAATTTTCGAAAAATTTTTTCAGTATCGAGAAAAACAATTTTGAAGTTTTTGGTTTTGTCTAATGTCAACCTTTTAAGGTTAGTGGGCAGGCTTTAATAGCTTACTTATGCTGAGTTCAAACTTGAGTTCTTTGTTTTATTTGAGTAAAGTCAAATTTAACTGTTTATGGCGGCAGTTTTGGAATCAAAAGTTTCATATTTCAAAAAGTTTCGACAAGTTTGTTTGAATTTTTTTTTTCTTTTTGTTTTCCTCTTCATTTTTCTTCAAAAACTGCTTTCCAATTAGCCTATTTTACTGTAACTATCGAACACGCCTACGTTCTGTTTTTTCGTTCAGATATTTAATTTTACCACGCAGAAAAAATGACATAGTGTGAACGTTCTGTGCTACTTGCACAGCAACCGGCTGTCCTTGTTTTCTTTTTTTTGTTTTCCACGCAAAATCAGGTTCTGCAAATATTCATCTGAATGGATTGAGTGATATATGGTATCAAAGTATTTTCAGTCGTGATTCGAGCAAAATCAAAAAGTTGTGGAAAAAATTTCTCAATTTTGAGAAAATTAGTTTCGAAATTTTTGATTGATCGTCTGTCAACCTTAAAGGTTAGCGGGCAGGCTTTAATAGCTGATTTATGCTGAGTTTGAACGTGAATTCTTTGTTTTAATTGTGTAAATTCTGTTTTAGCGGCAACTTGGGAATCAAAATTTTCAAAATTCAATAATTTCGACAAGTTTTTTCAAAGTTTTTATTAATTTTTTTAAAGTTTTTCGAGTCATTTTTTCACATTTTCCAAATGGCCTTTTTGACAATGACTGTCAAACACGTCTACGTTCTGTTTTTCGTTCAGATATCTCTATCTACCACGCAGAAAAACGACACTAATATGAACATTCTCGGTTACTTGCACAGCAACCGGCTTTCCTATTTGTTCCGACCATTTGAAAAATGTGGAGGAACTTTGTATTCGGGTTTGTTTCTTTTTCGTTTTCCACGAAAAATCAGGGACTACAAATAGTCTTTGGACTGGATTGAGTGATATATGATATTCAAGCCCTTTCAATAGCTATCCGCATGACATAAACAACATTTTCGGTCCAATATCAAGCTTATAAGATTAGCGTGCAGGCTTACAGTAGCTTAATAATTCTGCTTTTAAGCCGTAAAATCTTGGTTTTACTTGAGTAAATTTATGAGTTTACTTTTTTGTTCAGATTTTTTCATCACAACAAGCAGAAAAAACTACACTAATTTGGAAAAAAAACTATTTAGAGTTTTTGAAGACTATGGTCGGAACATTCTGTTCTAATTGCACAGTCACCGGTCATCCTTATTTAAAATAGATTTTTTTTCAAGAATATTTAACGCATCGACAAAAATAAAAGCAACACTCGCATAGCTATGGTAAAACTGTTGTCTTAGCCAGAAAAGCTGTGACAATGAACCCGAACAAATTTAGGTGGCCGAAATTTAAAACTTAAAACTGAAAACTTTCCGTAAAAAAATAATCTACAACTTGGATGCTGATATATTCTGGGCTGTTCATTAAATTTTTCTTAAAAGCCAGTAGTGAAATTTAATCAGTCACCATTTTTTTCATATATAAATTGTTTATAGAGGAAAAAATCTTTTTCTTGAGCTTTATATTCTTACAAGACGCTTACTTCACGACACCGCTGATTAAAATATGTTGGCTATGTTCAGATTTCTCAGATTACGAGATTTTTTAACCTTTTTGTCTCCTAGAGTTCATTGTCACTTTTTCAGCCTTCTGTTGGCTCAGTGTTGTTTGATTTCATTCAGTTCGTGATATTCAAAGAATTTTAAGCTGACTTGTTTCACATGGCACACGAAGTTTAAAAAAAGATGAAAGTCGCTTTTTACCCTTTATTGCGACTTCCTTTTGTTTTCTGTTATTTTTCCGAATTGTTGCTTAATTCAGCTTCAAAAATTAATAAGGGGCACGTAGGTGGCCTGTAAATCGGAAGAATGGGCAGGTTTTTATTTGCAATTGTTTTTCCAAAAATAGTTTTTAATTTTCAGATTTTTCCAAAACTGTAATTAACCGCAAAGAATTGAAGCTAAATCAGTTTTCCATTTCTAATTGTTTCCACTTTTAATTGCTTTTCCCGAAAAGGTAAATAAGGGCAGATAAATATCAATCATGATCAGATGTTGAATTCTCTTTTTTTCTAAAAAGGGCCAGTAATTCTTATTTACGTTTATATACCCAAAAATAGCTATTTGCGGATAAAAATGATTGATATGGAAATAAATTTATTTTCATTCTGCGTTTCCCAACTTTTTCGGGCTTGATCAGACAGTTCTATTCAACTTCATGTTTCAGTCAAATTTTAGTTCAACATGCTGCTTATGCTGCTGGCATTTAGTCGTGCTTGTTTTTTAAAATCAAATCCAGTTCAAACAATTTAATGTGCATATTTGGTGTGCAAAAAAAAAACGTTTATGCTTGGTCAACCAGGATTAGTTGTTTGAGTTGTTGCAATACCTTTATTTGCTTAAAAACTTGTTTCGTTTCAAAACTGAGATTTTCAAACAGTTGATATATGAACGTTTATGTAATTTGTTTTCTGTTGTTAAGAGTCGATGAACGTAGTTCAGACCTTATGTAGGTCGCGATGATTTTTTTCCTGGAAAAGTCTTAAAATTTGTTCACGCTCAGTTATGATTTATCGCTGATTCTTTGATTTTTGACTTTGATTTTTTGAAATTAGGTTTGTTGCTTTTTGAGGAAGGCAAACTACTATCGAACCGCAAATGTGCAAAGGTCACTAAAAACGTGATCGACTTCTAGTTTCATAAGTTGAATTTAATTTTCAGATTTGCCACCAGAATAAATTTTCAAACTATTGATCCAGTTTTTCAATCAAATTTTGGACCACCCTATCAAAAAAAGTTCAGTTATAATTTTTTCTTAAAATTTTGAGAGCTTTTAGGCCATATATTTTCGGAACAATAAGGATATAATATATTTAGATGCGGGGTTTTTTATTTTGATCATTTTTAAAACTACTGTTTTAACATGTCGAAAGAAAGAGTTTTTCACGCTTAAGCGAAGACCTGCTCCCATAATTTGAATCTTAAAGTCAGATAATCGACGAAAGAAATCGAATCCTAAATCAACATGTAACGGACTTGAATATGATATGATACCACGCTTAATACCCTAAGAGCGTTCTTTGAAGCACCTATAATCTGAATTAGAACCGATTCTGATCCATAGGTCTTTCCAACCGTGTATGGTCGTAACAAACGCTATTGCACAGTTTTAACCTCATTTTCGTATCAAAATAACTATTCTAAATTTAAAAAAATTTCTATTGTTTCGAGTGGTGGTTAGTTAGCAATTTTAAATATCCTGTCGAAATGTGGTATGCGCCTAATGTATATTAACTATAAAATTAGTTGGTGATTTAGTATGAACTTTGATAAATTTATTCTTCTGCTTCTTATTTCAATGCTTAAACATGTGTTTAGTACACTTGGAGTCAGTTGAACCAGTTCGTGCGTGACAACCACAACAACTACGCCAGTGTCAACCTCAGAGTTCCCTCATCTCTCACTCTGACAGACACAACCCCCTCCCCGCCCTCTCTTTCCCTACGCAGACTGCAGCCACTTAGTACACTCAAGGGGGCTGTCAAAGGGGCAGGGGGTAATTTGACTGGGAATAGTGGGAGTGGTAAACAGGAAAGGGGAATGGGCGATGGAAACAACAACGAGTCAACCAGGTAAATATTGAGCTGATAAGAAAGATATTCTGTTTGCTAAATTTTGTCTCTTGAGTTTTGCACCTGCCTCATATTTTTCATTTAAAATGTCTTTCACGTAATTTCAAGGCTGCATGCGTGATATAATTTTGTAAGGTACGAAAAAAGAATGTGTTCAGAATCTTTTGTTTGTTCACGCTGCCAAAATCTGTAAATGCGATAAGGAGAAAAATAATTGTAGAAATGGAAAGAAATTTGTTTCTAATGGAGCGGAAACGTTTAAATCAAAACGGATCATGGCTGATAACAAGTAATTGAGGTGTTGGTATAAGTATATGAAAGTTGGGTCCTTGGAAAAATCAAGAATGAAATATTGGTCCAGTCATTTCATTAAAAGTTTGAAATGCAAGCAAAAAACTTCAAGTTTGTTCAGAAGATGAGGGCCAATGAAAATTTCCTAGATTCTTGTTTGTCTCAATTTTTTGCTGTTATATGGCCCAAATTTAGGAAGCTTGCTCTCAAACTATTTCACAAAGAAAAGTGATTTTAAAAATTTGAGGCTTTAACAACATTTTCTCATCTATATTTCAGGGACCAAACTGTCATAATTGTACGTAAGTATTTACAGCCTTGCGGTTTGAAGTAGAGATTGTATATAATGCCAATAATGTTTTAAAGATAATTATATCAACTTTTGGCCCAAATATCAATGAAAAGGATAGTGGCCGTTTAAAATGAAAGTTCTGTCTAGTCTCTTTTTTGGCCGAGGATATAGAAAAGGAACCATATATTAAATCATTTAGTTTATGACCATACTTTCTTTGATCAATCACGTTTCTGAAATTTGTTCACAGGTCTAAAGAAGGAGCATCCGGGGGTTCCATACCAATGTCTACTTCAGCCCCCACCCCAACCACCCCCTCCAACAGGGCCTTCCACTTCAACCTGGATGAGCACTCGAGGGGAGGGGAGGAGGGATGGAATCCTATTCTGGGCACATACCTCACAGCCACAGGCGAACACTGCTACGATCACAGCAGGACCAATCCAGACCTCATTAAGGTATATTATTCATTGTAGTCGAAGATTTAATTCAAGATTAGTACTGGAATCTAGTACTGGCATCTGTCTTTCAGTCGTCATGCTGGTTCCCCGACACAGACAATTATCCACGTTCGTTGCTTGAGGGCAAATAATATATCTGTATAAAAAATTTAAGAAGAATTGTGGATATTGAAATCAGCGGCGTCTTGAAGCAATTGGCAAGCAGTATAAAATTCAAGAGCAAGACTTTTTCTCTTTAAACAACTTTTATTTGTAAGAAAATGGTGACTGATTGAACTTCTTTACTGGCTTTTAAGAAAAATTCAATGAACAACCCAGATATCAGCATCCGAGTTGTAGATCATTTTTTGTGGCAAGTTTTCAGTTTGAAGTTTTTAGTTTCGGCCACCTAAATTTGTTCGGATTAATTGGCAGCTTTTCTGGCGAAGATAACAGTTTTACCGATAGATATGCCAGCTTTGTTTTTCTCTTTGTCTATGCGTACAATATTCCTGAAAAGTCCAATTTTAAACAAGGATAGCCGGTTACTGTGCAAGTAGCACAGAATATTCCGATCATAGTCTTTAAAAACTACCTAAGTTTTTTTCCAAATTCGTGTAGGTTTTTCTGACGTAACACTATAATTTAGGCATATTCGACAGTCATAGTAATATAGGCAATTTTACAAAAATTGTTGTACAACCTTGACTAGAAAAACAAAAAAATCAATATTGTTTTGAACGTGTTTGATTCCCAAAAAGGCGCTAAAAAACTCTAAAAACTAATTTTACTTGCCTAAAACTAAGATTTCAGATCCTAAATTAAACATACATAAGCAGTTGTAAGCCTGTTCTCTCGCTTTTTTCCTCAAAATTGAGTTAAAAACGAAAACTTTTAAACCAGATGTTCTCGATACTGAAAAAAATTTTGAAATTTTTTTAAATTTCGTTTAAATTACGATTAAAAGAACTTCAATTTGGTATATCACTCGACCCATTCCAATAATTATTTGTGTTACCTGATTTTGCGTAGAAAATAAAAAAGTAAAAAAGCCTAACAACCATATTTTGCCTCACAGTTATTACTAAGCGTTATTTTGATGCCATATTTTAAAAAGAAAATTCTAGTGATAGCCTGACGAAAATGATTATACATGTGATTAGCAAACGTTATCAATTGGGAATATAGAGTTTTTTCACGTTAATCATTTGTCCAACAGAATCACTGAATTATTTGATGACTTGATATATGCTTTTTGAAATGAAGTTTGTAGGTTTTTCTTTAAAAATTGTGACATCCGGTTTTAGGGCGATTTTTTGTTGTGTCTTTTCTGCCTGCTCTCATCGCAAGAAAGAGCAATGTACCAATTTTTTTTATCAAGTTTTTACATTTACCCTGATCAAATCAGATGAAATCTTTTTTCATCTGATTGCAAATTTAAAAAAAAAAGATTTTTCCTGTTTTCTTACAAATAATTGATTCGCCTAGTTTGTTTATTACCTCTGCGATATGCATGGGTGTTGCAATCGGGCACTAGACTCTTATCAGCGCACCGTGTGTCTGCTCACGAACTGTCGGCTTTTTTGCAGCTTTGAAAATTATGTTTTGATGCTTATGTATCATTCAATTGTCTTTTTGGCATATAAAAGGATTTTTTTTCCAGACTAAGTCAAGACAAATGTGGGAAATACGAAATCAAGACAAATGTTTATGGTAGATATGTTTTTTTAAAAGGATTTCCTTCTTCGGCTTTCATTTTTTCTCGGCTATTTTGTCATGCTATGTATGTGTTGTGTCCCAGGTAGTGCGAGCTACGCTTCATTTCTGTATGCAAAATTTCTATTTTTGAAAGAGGTGGTTGTTCAGTTCCATCTGAAAGTAATGATAGTCGTTCCTTTTTCTATCTCAAGTCGTGCAAGGCTCTGCTTTGCCTCTGTGTCAAATGTGCGTTTATGAACCTTATGTGTGTTAGAGAAGGACTGGATTGTGCTTCCTCTTGGAGTACTTTGAAGTTTTTGAAAGTCACAGTAAAAATATTATTTTTGCTATGTTTTCTTAATCATTAGTGATGCGAAGCTGCTCCTCGCCTCTGTGAAAAAGTGTCAATCATAGAATATTCTATGATTCTAAGTAATTGAACATGATAGATAAATTTTGTTCAAAACGCAGTCAATCTTTTTTTTACCGCCGGTTTCCTTGGGTTAACTGACAAGTTACCAACTGTCTTTTGACCATGTATTATATCATAGTTATCTCTCCCAATGATTAGCTTCATCCAATAAGTTTTTCTCTCTAGCACTACGAGAGCGATGAGCGTCTGTACTACCTGGGCTACAACAGGGAAGACAGTAGTAGGGAGCAGACAGTGCAGTTTATTGATCTGCCCAGCAGTCGCACAATAGAAGACTGGTCCACCCTCCACTCTCCCCCCTGTCAACAGCCCAAGTGTCTCCTCCTGCCATGGATGGACGGAACTGCCACTTCCACTGCATCTAATGCACAGTTAGTTTTTTATTTCGCCTGCGATTAGTTTAATTTATTTTCGCAATAATAATAAATGACAACCCAAAATCAGAAATCAAAGTTTTTAGATATTTTTCAAAGAAGAAATTATTTATTACAGGGGCGGATCTAGGATTTTCTCGAGGGGGGTGCTGATTTTCAAACAATTTCGAAAATTTTGTCGACCTTTTTTCTAGGTCGACCAAATTGCTTTTCCGAGCTCTCCCAAAGCACTAAAAAGACCTTGTTTTGACAAATTTTTCTGCACCACTGGCAACAAAAAAAAACAGGCGAAAAAAGTCATTTTTAGGTACTTTTTGGAAAATGTTGACCAAAAAATAAACGTTTTTTCGGCGAGCCTTTCTCCCTCAAAATTATTAATTATTGGCGCCTTTAGAAAAATTTTTGGGTACTTCAGCCGAAATGAATAATTCAAATTAGCACAAAGGGGGACTCTTTGGGTATGCTGGGGGTCGAAGCTCTGGGGGAGGGGGAGGGGGGTTGCGTCCGCCCATGATTAATTATCACTGAAAAGTTTTTTAACTGACCTTTTTTTTATCCGCTGTGACATAGTAGCAAAGAGTTTTCAATCTTGAAGTGAAATTTTAAATAGCATTTTGATCTCCAAAATTGGGCGCCGTGTGACGTTTTGTTAAAAATGTGGTCAGGTTATCAAAAACAACATTTTTTGAATCATTTTGCTATTTACCTAATTTTGCAACCTACTGTCAAATATTAATAATATTATTTAAGCTGCAACAGTCGCTCATCACCCAAGTCACGTGGGTTCAGTGGGGTAAACAACAATAACAACAACAGGAACAATTCTAACAACAGTTGCGCAAACAGCACTACTAGTAGTAACAAGTACAGTGGCGCATCGTCGGGTGGGGGGAGTCAGCAGCAGTTGCCGAGGGAAGAGCAGTTGTTGCGGGAGAGGAAAAGACTGCCTTCGATGGGCATTAGTCACTTCCACACTGATCCAAAGTGTGAAACTATCGTTTTCATCAATGCAAAGGTTAGCAAAAGTTAGCTTATTGACATAAATATGAAGAATAGCTTTCATTGATTAAGGCTAAAAAGCAATCGAAAGTATATAATTCTTACTAGCGCAAAAATGACTTTGTAATCTTTGGGAAAGCAGAATTGCTTCGGGTGACATAAAGCATTTCGATCATATTTTATCATCATTGGAAAACAATCATTTCTGCTTCAATAAATTCAAAATTTTAAAATATGCTTTTCATTTCTGACCATTCAACAAAAAATCAGCTTTGTCAAAAAATCAAGTGTTTTCTACTCAATGCATTTTGTTATAATTTTTCCTTGCAGGCTCTCTACTACTGCAAACCAAGAGTGCGCGAAGGTCTCAGTCCCACCCTCAACTCATTCACCCGCTCCGCTTCTTCCCCCCACTCCCCTTCCTCCTCCTACTCCCCCTCTCACCCCAGCGTGTGTCCCTCCAACCCAGACCTGATCGCATTCATATGCCACAAGGATATCTACGTGTTGAACACAAAGTGTCAAGGACAGGCTGTGGAGACAAGGCTGACGTTCACGTACAAGCCGCCTGAGACACCAAAGGTTAGACTATTTTTGGATTTTTTGAACTCATAAATACTACGAAATTCTGTGTTAATGACCGAAATGGGTAGTGAGCTAATTAAGTCGAGTATGTTTTTTTTTGTTTTAATTGTTCAGAAAGTTCTTGAAATTTGTTCACATCGAAAAATTTGTTATCCGATTTTTTTTTCAAGTTCGCGCTCTACTTAATTTTTAAAATGGAAGGAAAGTTTTCCTGTTGGATGTTGTGTATGTGAAAAAAAAACATTTTCAGCTGTCTGAGAAAAACTTCCATTGGAAATCTGCGCGTTTTTGCTGTGGAAACAAGCTTTTTCATGCTTATTATTTTGTGAAATAAAGCTTTTTTGACGCCTGTTATCTTAAATGATAAATTTTATCATGTTTCAGTGTGAATTTTTGTTACAATGGCATGACGAATTAACACTATGGCTTAAGTTGTGCCTTTTCTTTCCGTTACGTTTTGACTATTTCAAAGAAAGCTCGTGGGAGTTGGTCAAGCGTGATATCATGTTAAAGGCCTTTTGATCTGGTTTCAAATTGCAAAATTAAGTCGAAAGTGTCCCGGTGTCGAGAAAAATGTGTCTGTATTTTTTCAGAACAAATTTACGAAATTTCTGATACTCAACTTAAATCTGATGAAACACAAGTGATGCTATAATATTAACAATATTTTAAAAATACTTATTTGTTCAGGAAAAAGTCAAAAATTTGTTCACACTCAGTTTTGATTTTTTTTGCTTTTTGATTTGTGATTTCTTTTTAAATTCAATGATTTTCCATTTTTAAAAGGAAGGTTAACTTCACTATCGAACAGCAAAAGTGTAAAGGTCATGAAAAACGTGATCGATTTCTAATTTCGAAAATGGAAATTAATTATCAGATTTCCCAGCGAAATGAAAGTTTTGCCTATCGATCCAGGTTTCTCAAATTGGGCTATTTTTAACAAGAAAGTGTCCATCATAAATTGTTCTACAAATCCAAAGAGCTTCAACGCCATCTATTTATTTCTTCGAAATTCAAAAGTTGAAGGTTTTTGGAAAAACAAGTCAGTATTATTTCAGTTTCCTTGCGTTGATTACCGTTTTCCAACTGTCAGTTGGCTATGTTTTAGGTTTTTGAACCTATTACCTGTTTCACTTCTTTAAACATTTTTCAATTGCCCCGTTTTTAGAAAATCCTTATTGTTATATTTGTTTTCTCGCATCTTTGTCGTCAGAGCGTTTCGTGTTTCATGCTCAGCATCCAGCTATCTTGTTTATAAAAACGAGCTTGCGAGCGGAATATGTTCGTACGAACCTTCTTTTTTCTAAAATAACTCGCAAAAAAGTATTCATTAAAAGTGTTCACTTATTTGTTGGCACTTTTGCTATAATCACGATCTGCAGCATTGGAAAATTCGTGGCTTTATTTGTGGCTAGTGTTTTTGATTTATGAAGTGTCCGTGGCTGAATGGTTAGTGCGTGAGACTCAGAGTGTTTTGGTCTCCATTTGGTTAGTTACCAAGCAATACATTAAAAGATGCGGCAGTCATTAGATCTGCAATATTTTGACGACCAAATAATTTAGTGGCCTGATTATCTTGTTTCAAGAACATCGAATCTATTTGTACTCCAGCAAACGAGTTCACTTTCTTTCTACTCTGAGGGTATTAATACATTCGATTGTAATTTTTCCGATTTTTAAAGAAAGTAACGGATTATTCGATCAACTCAGAAAGCATTCCTAACTCGATTGATCCAAGTTATTTGGCCTTTACACGAGCGGAGCGTAGTGTGATAGTACGATGATCCTTTTTTGCAACCCAAGTCGCAAATAAAACTGCTACTTTTGGAGGTAATTTTGAATCTGTAGGCTGTATTAACCTAATAGTGCTGTGGGATTTGACATTTGTTTAGTAATAAAATAACACAGTTGATGCTTTTTTAATCTATCTATTGATTCGAAAAAAAACTATTTGTTGCATACATTAGTATATTAAAGCCCATTTTTATCCAACTCAATTTTTTTCAACTCGATTCTCTAGCGAGATTTTTGAAATGCATAAGTTATACGCAATTTGGTTTATTACATTCTAATTTATTACATGCAAAGTTAGTGTTGTTGCCTTCAGCTTATTACAATCCAAATTGTTACTTGCCAAGTTTGAGTTATTGTGCGTTTTAAAGCGCCTGCATTTTTGCCTGAATCTATTTAATTGCTCAGATTTTTTTTTTATCTCAAATGCTTTTGGTCAAAGTGTGTTGTGAATACACATGCTGACACGCTGAACTAATATTTTTTGTTCACGAAGTGAAACTTACCATAGCATTCTATTTATTTGATTAAACAAGTTGAGCTTGGAAACCTTTCGAGACAATTTTTGTCGAGTTATAAGTGGAGCTTGTATTGCGAGGTTTCATTTCGAGATTTTGAACAGTTTGAGTTATTTCCGATTTGCTGCCTCTTTAATTGTCGACGATCAGGGTTCAGACACTCATTGGGGTCTTGCATTTTTTGGTAAAAATTCTGAACATTTTAATCACTATTTCCGATTCGTGTACTTATTTCATATTTTAAATTAGAAGAGTCCATGAACTCTGGCAAAGTACTTTCGCAGTTTTGTGTGACTCCTAATGTGAATGTTTTGCCCATATCAGTGTGTCGCTTACTGTTGACGAACCATTTTTTTACCCAGAACGCATATAATAATTTCATTTTTGGAGGGATGCAATGATTTCATTATGTTCTGCCTAGTATTGCTGTAAATCGCGCTGAATGTTTTCAAAGATTCACACTCAAATTTGATTTTTGCCGTTTGATTTTTGATTTTTTTTCTAAGGCTCAAATTTATTTGCGAAAAGGAAGGAAAATGTCGCTCTCCATTTAATAAGTTCAAATGGCGCGAAAAAACTTGAATGAATTTTTGTTTCGAAATTGATTTTAATATTGAACTTTCTTTGCGGAGTTTTTAAAACATACCGATTGATCCATTTTTCTCTAATTGGGTTAGTTTTCTTAAATAAAAAGTGGTTAACATAAAATATTCTTGAAATAGAAAAGAATTAACGTGATATAACAATGCAGTTCCCTTTTTCTTAAAAGTTGCACACCTTTCTTTTGCCTGTATCTTACTTGGCTTAGGTATTTTCTGATTATGAACTTTTTGCTATTTTTTCACTTGTGTTTGCGAAGTGTTGCTTGATCTTTCGTCATTAAATTAATTTTGGTTTCAACCAGCTGGAACAAAAAAGAAATTCAAAGGTTACTATACGGGATCAATTGCCCAACTACTTAATGGTTTTTGCTCATATTACATAATGCTTGATCTTTAGAAAAAACTGTTAATTTTGAATTGCTCAACTGCTTTTCTACTCACATTACAAAATGCCTGATGTTAAAAAAACCGTTATTTTTCAGGTGTTCACTTTTCTACATGGGGGATGGGGCAGCAGTGGCAGTAACAGCAACAGTAATGCTGCCACTCCTCTAAGTGCGTCATCAGGCAGTGGTGGAGACAGATGGAAGGCAGATGGAAAAGGAGGAGCATCCGGTAGTTATCTAGTGCTTTGTTACAGTTATTAGTGCTTAATGTAGTTGACTTTTCTTCTTACGTCAAATTTGCTCGCCAAAACATGTAGTTGACCTGTCACCTTACGTCAAAACATGGCTCCAAGAGTCAACTTTCTTAGTTCTGGTTTGTTTTGAGCGTGTCTATATCAAAGAGATGACAAATGTTTTATCACAGTGACTTTTGATTTACAAAGATTGGGAAAATGTAGTTGCTTGTGCAACACTTAGTTTCAAAGTTTCGTCGCTTGAATGGTCTGATTTTGATTAGAAACACTTTAAACTGATTTACGATTTGTAAACTGATGGTCCGTATGGAGTAACTTATTTCAAACGTATTCAAATTATTCAACATTTTTTTTTGTTTATAAGGTTCTCAAAGAAAAAATATTTTGGGAGTCGATTGATTAATGGAGACAAGCTTGCTAGTAGTATTGAACGCGTAGGGTACCATGTACAATGATTTTCTTTTCTGGTTTAGTTTCTCTGCACCGAATGCCATATGTGACCAAAATGTGCCATAGTTGAAAACCTCATTCATATTTTAACTTCAATCTGTGTACTAGAGAGAAAATTTAAGATGAATTTTTAAATACGAGAAAACGACCTAAAATTTTTGATTTAAAATCAAAAATATTTTTAAAACCATTTGTAGTTTTCAACTTTTCGTAAGAAAAAGCAGATCAAACAGTTCCGAAAGGAACAAATGGCGAAATTGTTTGCGAAAGGAACAAATGGCTCAAAAATTAAGCTTAAAAAATTCTTAGTGACCAAAGTATTCTTTGTTTCGTCAATTTGTAATGAATACGAGCTCGGTGAAATTTTGAATAGCAATTCCCATGGGTTCCTTCTGTTTTACCTAAATTATTTGAAATTTTCCTCGCGTTTCAAATTTCATCTTATTTCTCTCGTTAACTTAAATACACCTCAGTGTAATCTTTATTTATCATTAGATTTTTAAATCCTTGTAAATGCTGACTAGAAGTGAGAAATTTGATACAAGTTAATAAATTGCATTCGTTTCGAAGGAAAAAGAAACAAAATGATGAAAGAATTAAAATGAAACGAAACATCAAGACCCACTTAGCAAATTATAGCCTCTACAAAATGCAAATTATCAGCGTGAAAATACTGTCACTAGTTTTTCTTGCATTTTTTGTTTTATTAGGCTGGAGGGGCTATAACTAAAACAAAAAGAAAATGCTAATCAGGATATTGCAATAGGGCAGGAAATAGTTAACAAGGTACAAAGTTCGTATATGCTTAACTGTTCAATTCTCTCTTTATAAGGGGGGGGGGGGGAGGATTCGTTACAAGGTACCATTTGGGGGAGAGTTAACAAGATCCGCCAATCATTCTAAAATATTTATTTAACTTAGTTTGTTTTTGCTTCCCAGGTGGTTCTTCCTGTTCGGGCACAGTGAGTGCGGGTGTTCCTTGTTTCGTGTCGATGGAAGAGTTCAACAGATACGATGGGTTCTGGTGGCAGCCAACCAGTCAATGCTACACAGAGCAGGATGGGTCCATCTGTGAATTGTACAGGATCATGTATGAGGAGGTTTGTATCTAATGGGACTTGTCAAAAAGTTTCCTTTAATCAGTAGAGTCGTCTTTTTCTAACTGAGTAATACTGATAATAATAATAAATTGTTATTGACTGACAATAGCCTTCCTAAACCAGTTTTTGCTCAGATTGCGTTTGAATCCCGTTGACTTTAAGAAAGAAAGAAAGAAACAATCTTGTTCTCGAAGTTTCTCTTTTTTTAGACTTATTTAACGTAATTGTTAGAGCTTTTTTTTTGTTTTTCGCTTTTGCTTGCAAAGTACAGCTTCGCTTCTGAAGCGAAAAGTTATGTTAGTTATATAAGCCCACAACAGTTTTCTTCGGCTCTTGAAGTAATTTACCTATTTTCTATTCTGACCAATCATTTTTCTATAACTGCAAATTGTCTATGTTTTTGCAATTGCAGGTGGACGAGTCAATGGTGGACGTGATCAAGATCCAGAACCCACTGAACAACAGGTGTGAGAAATACAGGTACCCCAAGGCAGGAACCCGCAACGCCACCTCCGCCCTCAGACTCCTCACTCTCTCACTCAACCACACTAGCGGACAGGTAAATAAATAGAAGGAAAAAAACGAACAAGACGGTTTTTATTCTTCAGACGCATTCAAAAATGATAGTAAAACAAATTCTATCCCGCATGTTGTTTTTTTTTGCTGAAAGACTTCTTAGTTCTTTGTGAGTGTTGGGGAAAAAAACAATTTACGAAATAATTGGAGTTTCTCGGAGTCAATCGAAACTTCGGCTATTCTCCGAGATTCCAAGTGCTTCATATTAGTGAAGGCAGACCTTGGAAGATAGTAGTTGGTGCCTGGATTGATGTGCGTGAATCAAGGTCAAAACAGTTCTGGTGTAAGAAGTAGTTGTGATAGGGAGTGAGGTCTGTATTTAGACTGTATTCATACTCGTCAGTAAGCAGACAATTACCATATTAACCAATCAGAATCGAGATGAGAAAGCAAACATCAGAAATAAATAATTATTCATTTCTTTCTTGTCTCGATTCTGATTGGTTAATACAGTATTTGACTAAATACTGCCGAGTCTGAATACGCGGTTGTCTAAATACTGCTACGTAACCTTATGATAGATAGTGATGATCTGTTTCAGGTGGTGTTGTTGAGCGACTGTGGTCTGGGAGAGAACCAAATAGAAGCATGCGTGCCACTAGCAGAGTACCTCACAAGGTTAACTAATGTTGAGCTATGTAACCATTTGAATATTCAAAAAATATTAAGTTACAGAATTGAATTAGTCTAAGAATTCATTTTACCTAATTTTTTCATTTCCGTTTTATTCAGCTATAATGCTGAAATGAGCCATTTGTAATTAGGTTCAATAGTAAATATATGATGAACTGATGTGTTTTTTTTTATCTTGAACCGGCACGGAACTTTTTGAGTTTTTTGCAGAATATTTGATTGTTGCGATTTTTTTTAAATAAAAATTAAAAATAAATAAAAAATTGTGAACAATATTTCACCTTTTGTCCAGGTGTGGCTGGTGTAGTTCTGGAGACTACTTCTGGTCGCAGTGGCTGTCACGTGACCAGAAGAGACTCTTCATAGTTCTCACTTCAGTCAGTGCATTTAATACATCCTCGTCCGCAGACTCCTTGAATCTATTCAACGCACAAGGTACCCAGGGAGGAATGGGGTTAGAAAAGGAGTACAGTGGTAGTACTAGTAAACAACAGGCAGTAAATAACAACAACAATAACAACAATGTGAGTGGCGGTTGTGGTGGAACTAGGAAAATCAGCGATGGCCTGGAGTTCCTCGATTGTACATTTAATCCTCAAAAAGGTCAGTTCAAAAATAGTTTATATGAAATAAACGGAAAAAAATCTCTCTATTTTTTTTTCGTCTCTTTCTCGAAAAGTTAATTTAGTTGAAAAACGTTGAAGGTCATTGTTTCGCGATTACTTCTTTAAAGTTTTATGCGGAATTTTTTTTTTAATGACAGGATCTCACCATGTGATTGAAACTCATCTCTTATTCATTGGTTTAATCTTTTAATTAAGAGTCGTTGAACGTACTTAGCCCTTGAATTTGTGAAGCCGTTGAAGCCCTTCCGTAGAGTCGTTGAAGCCCTTGCCTCTGAGGTTAATTGTATTCTTCCGTCCAAAGTTGAACCCTCAGAAAAATCTTTCTCCAGAATTGCCCGCTGTAAGCTTTCCTAACGACGATCCGGCTATAGCCGCCTTTTAAACACTAACCTATCCCGACAAGATAGCTCCCCTTCCCCTTTATGCTCAACGTGCTCCCTCGCACCACAAACTACATGCCATTTTTTCAACTGTCCCCAAAACCCCCTCCATACTTACCCCTGCAGGCCTGTGGCTTCTGCCTGTGGATGCTGCTAAGTTTCTAGACCTGTAGATGGACGAGCCCAACTCGACCTCGGGCTAAAGCAACAACAAAAATATTATAGACTTCGAGTGTTAAAAGTATATTTTAATTCTCAGTTTACCCAGCGAATTGAATTTTTTTAAATTCAGTTTTGTCAGATCTAACATTATCAAAAAAAAGTGTCAATCAAAATTGGTTTCCGAAATTAAAAGAGCCTTAAGGGCATTTTTTTCTTGAAATTTCGAACGTTGAATTTTTTCAAAAAACACGTCATTTTGTTATCTGTTTACTTGCGTTCATTGACTCTTTTCCAACTGTCTGTTGGCTCTGTTTATAAGTTTAGAGCAATTGTTTGAACGCAATTTCCTACAGTTCCTGAACAGTAAAATTCATTCTGCCCGCCAAAAATAACAGTAATTTCAAACAACGAAAAGTTTAATCTGTTTTTAGAGACTCCATCTGACCAGTCAATATCTCCTGATTTACACACTGTGCTATCCAGATTGAACAACAAACCAGTTCTAGTCCAGAAGATCTACGAGGAGACTAGTAACTACTGGATTAATGCGCACGATATAATGCATGTGGTCCAATCGGAGTCCAATGATGATGTGATCACCTTCATATTTGCCAGTCAGCAGACCAAGTTCAGGTGAGTCAAAATTAGCGGGTGTGGCGACTTGCATGCGCAATTAAAATATTTGATCACTTTGATGCGGCATGCATCAGTTTCAAATTTAGTTGTAAATGTGAGAAAACAAACTCAGTTAGAATTGCGCTAATAGCCGCATGCTAAGCGGCACGCATGCCAGTAGACAGGTCCCCAAAAATTATACTACAAGTTCCAGCTTTGTTTACTTGTTCAAGCTGAACTGTTATATTACAATTTAGAACATCAAAAGTCATCTCGACTAGGCTTTCGACAATTTGATTTTAGAGAAAATCAAAGGGAGAAACTAGAAACGAGTCACTTTTATGTATTGATTCCAGCAAAGCGCTGTGAACGCTGTATTTTGGGTTTCAATATAGTGAATATACATGTATATCAAAACAAGCTGTAAAATCGTGCTTGATTCTGGGCTTTCTTTTTTCTAAATAAAAGCAAGGTCAAATAAGGTAACGTGTTTTATTTTGTTCTTAACACTTTTATTTTAATCCGCCCCGACCTCATTAACAAATTTTAACCCGATGAGAGAGCAGAGCGCCAGAATAATAAATAGCTATTCGATGAGAACATTATGCTGATTTTATTGTTTTTACAGTCTATATTGGTGTCAAAGGTAGACATTTTTAGGGCTGCTCGGCGTGGCCAAAAAGATGTCATAAAATAATAAGGAGAGGCGGTTGCTGTACCGACCATGTTCATCAAACTTTTTTTTTACTTTTCTTCGAATAAGAGTCGTATTTAAGAGTAATGAACGTACTGAAGACTCTTATATAGGTCTTGCTGATTTTTTCAGGAAAAGTCTTAAAATATTGATGCACTTAGGTATAATGCACTTTTTGAGTTCAATTGAAATTCTTCTGCTGAAAGTGACGTAAATAGCACTCTCCCAATACGAACGGGGAAATGGCGCAAAAAACGTGAACGATTTCTAGTTTCAAAAGTGGAATTTATTTTTAAGATTTCCCAGCGGAGTAAAAACTTTACCTATTGATCCAGTTTTCTCAAGATGAGTTCATGTTATCAAAAAAACGCCAATCATAAATTGTTCTAGAAATTCAAAGAGCTTAAAGGGCATGTAATTTTTTCTTCGAAATTCAACGTATTAATTTTTCGTGGTTAACGGAAGAATTTTTGCACAATTAAGCTATATCGTATATTGCAATGCTTATGAAAAATAAAGGGCATCTATTTTTTTTTAAGAAAGTCAGTATTTTTTATGTTAACGTGCGTTCATTACTCTTTTCCAATCTTCGATTGGCTTTGTTTATTGGGCGGTGTGATTCGAGACCTGTACGATCGCATAGAAAATTAGTAAATTAGGCATGATTGTCAACATTTGCCTAAAAAAATAAATATTGAACAAAAAGGAACAAAAAAATTTTAAAAAGTTTTCCTTATTTTTTGCACAATAATTTTGATATTTTTTGAACACCACGTGACCAAATAAGCACTAAATGAAACAATCAAAACAAGTTTTTTCTATAGTAAAGTCCTAAAAAATTAAATTTCCATTTAACGAGCGTTACTCGATCGCGTTACTCGCTCGAAATTTGACTGAGTCTCAAACATTTAAAATCCGTTTTTTTTTTCGATACTGGGACAATTTTTTGAGAATTTTATAATGTCGTTCGAGTCTTCACGACTGAAGGGCTTTAATATGAATTATCATTTGACCCATTCAGAAGATTATTTGCGTGGTACCTAATTTTGCAAGGAAAACAAAAAAAGGAATCTGAAACACAGTTACTCCCCATTTTCAATGGTCGGAACAATAACAAAGAGGTACCTTTTAAAAAGTTAAGGAACCAGAATTAAAGGATACTGTCGAATCCTCCGACACCCTCGTCACGCTTCTGTTTTTTGAACCCATTCTATTCCCTCTGTAGACACCTCTACTACATCCAGACTAGACTGGTGTCACACTCTTCTGCTGGACTGAATGGGGTGAGAATGTCTGGCTGTCATGAGGACGAATTGGAGGACTTATGTCTGGTCCATCCAGTCACCACTGGAGAGTGGGAGGTGCTAGGTGGGTTCCACTTTTAAGTGACAATAATTTGTTGAGTAATTGTTACAGGGGATAGGCCAAATCAGTTTTCCAAGCTTTTTTGCTATGTGAAAGCGGCGTCTTCCGCCTCAATTAAATGTATCACATGCCAGAGATTCCTCCAGAAAAAATGTCCTCCTAGTAATGTCATAAACTAGAAGCTAAATTATCGATTTTCCTAAATTATTACGCTGGTTTGCTCTTTTTACATAGAATAATCCTAAATTATTCCGCTGTTATAATATGTGCCTTTTACGAATTTTGTGCCTTTTAGGTAAAAATATGTGGGTGGATGAGAAACGAGGTCTAGTCTACTTTATGGGTCTGAAAGACACAGAAATAGAGTCGCATCTATACGTCACAAGTTACAAACACCCCAGACTGGGAATATTCAGACTCACAGAACTGGGTTACAGCCACTCTGTGCAGATGAATGCAAGTTGTACTGCATTTGTCGACTGGTTCAGTAGTCTGGACACTCCGCCCGCATTAGTGTACTGCAGGTAGCCGGATCGAATCTCGCTCCTTACTTTTGCTAAGTTTGGTTGCATATTTCTGCCAAGTTTGGTTGCTTCCGAGTTGTTGTTCCGACCATTTAAAATGGAGAGGAACTTTGTATTCGGGTGTTTTAATTTTTTTGGTTTTCCACACAAAAATGGGTCAGCTGGTATATCATTCAAAAGCCTTTTTAGTCGTGATTCGAATGACAGTTTTAAAAAAATCGAAAAAAAAACGCTTTCAATTTTTTGATTTTGGTCTAATTTCGAGCGATTTAAACAAGCGAGCAGGCTTAATATCGAAGGGAAATAGACCTGACCGCAATAAGTCCTTCGCGCATCAGAATAGTCCCCGTTTTTCTAGTATTTATTGCCAAAATCGAACATACAACCCAGTAAATAAAGCGAATTAGTCATTCACGAGCTTATACTTTTTGATAGGTTGAAACCACTCTCAATCAACACTACACATCAGAATGAAACAGAGACAGTTGTAGCAACTGTTGGCGATTCAGAGGATAGCGACAGTTCAATGGAGTTGGGGGAGGAAGAATCTTCTTCTTCTTCTTCTTCTTCTGCTGATGTTGTGACAAGTGTCAAGTGGTTTAAATTATTAGTGGCTGGAGTGGAAAGTGAAGCAAACAGGCATGTATTTATTGTGGCATAGATATTTTTTTTGATCAAATTGATTGAAATTACTGAATGGATGAATTGATTGAAATCACCAACATTGATTGGATAAAATGGTTGAATTGTCCAGAAAATGGTTTGAAAAAGTCTAACTTTCAATAAATTGATGCAACTTAGGGACCTGTCGTGTTTTGGCAGTAAATACAACTTTGGTTGCGTGTATTCAACTTCCGGTTATTTTGTTCGAAGTTTTGAAAGATAAGTTGTAAAAAATGGTCTGTATACTTGGGAAACTATGTATCATTTCGTTTTCTAATACCGAATTCTGATACGCCTTGTCACGAGGGATTATCCCACGAACCTAAATATCAGATAGTTACCCTTGCTATAAACAAGGGTGTTGCAACCGGGTACTAGACTTTTTTTCCCGTAAACAACTTTGTTCACAAGATTTCGCACTGGAAAATTGAACGTGTTTCAATTGCTTCATTGTAAATTCGAAATCAACCAGCTATCCAGGGCATCTGGCGTAGAGGTAACCCACATGCTTGAGACGAGAAAGGCTTGTGGTTTGAATCCGGTCGGGACCTTTTTTGACAACCTTAAATTTTCCGCTTTTTTGGACTATCCTCAGTCTGTTTAAGAGTAATTAACGTAGTGAGTACTCTTATATAGGTCTTGTTGATTTTTTTTGTTTTTTTTTCAGAAAAGTCCTAAAATTTGTTCACGCTCAATTTTGATTTTTCGCGGTTTCACTTGTGACGTTCAGTGCAATTCTATTGTTAAAAGGAAGGCAACTTCTACTATCGAACAGCAAAATTGTAAAGTTTACGCAAAACGTGATCGACTTCAAATTTCAAAAATAGAAATTAATTATCAGATTTCCCATCGAAATGAAAAATTTACACATTGATCCAGTTTTCCCCAAATTGGTGAATTTTAAAAAAGTTTCCATCATAAAATGTTCTACAAATCTAAAGAGCTTTGAGCCCATCTAATTTAATTCTTCGAAAATCAAAAGTTAAGATTTTTCAAAAATAAACAAACCTGTTTTTTTTTTTCAGTTTACTTGCGTTCATAACTCTTTTCCAATTGTCAATTGGCTATGTTTATTTTTGTCCGCTTAGATTCCGTAGCACGGACTCGTTATGAAGGTTTAGCTTTCTTCTAGTTTTCAGAATGTCATTCATAAAGCCCTCTTGGTAGAGGTAGAGTTACGTGATTTTTTACGGAATTTTTCTTACTTTTTTGAAAATAAGCAGGAACATTTTTGTTTCTACTTTTTGCTTGTCGGTTAACATGCGGCGATTTTTCTCCTTTGGTGTTTGAGAGTCATGAACGTAGTGAATACTCTTTTATATGTGTTGGTGATTTTTTTTGTTTTTCAGGAAAAAGTTTTTAAGTTTGTTCACGCAAAAATTATATTTTTCGCTTGACTTACGATTTTTTACGCTTTCTTTAAGTTCATATCGCTTTCTTTGTTAAAAGGAAGTTAAAATAAAAGTGTTAAGGTCACGAAAGATTTGATCTTTTTTTTTTAGTTTCGAAAGCGGATTTAAATTTTCAGATTTCGCAATGAATTTTTTAGCGGAATGAAAGTTATACTATTGTGATCCAGTTTTCTCAATTTGATTTGATTTTATCAAAAAATTTTGAGGATAAATGTGGTTTGAAATTCAAATAGTATTCTCAAAAGACTCAAATTCTACAGGTCGGCGCTTCGATTCCGCCTTTTGGCTAAAGTGTTTTTTTTTCTAAATCCTATTTTTATACCTTTTCCTCATTTTATTTTTTAATCCTTTTTAGAGCTACTGTTTACTGTTTTCTCGCTTATTTTTGTGAAGCGCAACAGTTCGGTTTCCGCAATGGTTCGATTTTTGCAGGAGTCTGCGTTCCGCTGTTCGATTGCGGCACAAAGCAAAGATTTTCTTGCGATAAAATCGGTTTTCATTAAATAGAAAGTGTTGTGATTTATTCCTGGTATTTAAAAATTTTTAAGATAGGATTTTTTGTTACTTTTTCTTTTCTTGCTTAAAAATTTCATTTGGCCTTAATTTTTCCAGTTTATTGGCTTTGTAACCTATGTTTGTGTCGCTTGAAGTGAAAAATAGTTTTTCATCTATTTGAGTTACTGATGAGGGCGCAAAAATTAACAGTTTCATAACTTTCAAAATTCTCATGCCCACTATTTTGTTTTCGACTCAACCGGTGTTCAATCAATTTTTCTCGGCTAAGTTGCTACTCGATTGTGTTTCGGCTCGTGGTTTTCTCAAATTGAACAGCATTCCCGATTAAATCTTGAAGTTTTTTTGGTGGTGGTTGTTTTCGACTTAGTGGCTATCTTCTGTTTTTCTGTCTGCTAGCTTGCAAGTTCTTTTTTGTGTGGTATCTCAAAAGATGCGAATCTCCGTTTTGCTTCCGTGTTATCATTGTTATTATTATTATTATTATTATTATTATTATTATGATTATTATTATCCCTTGATTGCAGATTCCAGCTGATGGATCCGCAGTACCCTCCCATAGTGCACACTCCGGAACACTTTTCCTTCCAGACCTCCTCCTCGTCCTCCCCCCACCAGTGCACCCTCCACGGACTACTCTACAAACCCAACTCATTCCAACAGGGCATCAAGTACCCATGTCTACTCTACGTATATGCTGGGCCACAGGTGTGTTATTCAAATTATCTCAAGAATTTGAGGTATCCTAAAAACCAACTGAAGAGCATTGCCAGTTTTGGACCTCAACTGGAGCTCGAGCAGGGATCCAGCTATAGTTATAACTAGTTGCTTAGTTGGATTAATTTGACTAAAGTTTTTGCAAGTTGCTTTGGATATTAAGTAAGAACCACATGCAAACAGATCTGTCCTGTTATTTCTCTGATGGTGCAATTCAGACCCCAACAACCAGCAAAAAACTCATTTCAGTATTTTCAAGCAGTGGCTATCCAGGAAAAATATGGACTCGTAATTCTGCCACTGCTATCCATATTTTTTTTTAAATTGAGGAATGTTTTTCCTCCAATTTTTGCTTTTTTGAGATCTTTGGCTTTCTTGAAGATTGAAAGAATACTGAAGGACTAAGAATATACTGAAAGGGAGCTGACATTTCATAGAAAATGGAAGAAAATTGTTCGAAAAGTAACCAAAGTTTCGATTTTGCAAACCAGAAAATTTTTTGAGACTAGGATACAGAATTTGATCGCAACGGACACTTATTAAACGGGCACAAAAACTAGAACTTCAAACCATTAGACTACAAGCAATAGTTAAAACACTATTGAAGTGTTAAACTTGAATTAAAATCAGACGCATTTCGAGGCAGACCTCATCAGTACAATTCTATCTGAAATTAAAAACATCGTACTTTGTGAGTTTTGTTAACAATAGCATGTTGTGTAAGAAAAGAAAGGATTGATGATTCTGCTCAAATGGCAAGGCTTTATAGATTGTATTGGTAATGTTTGTTAATGGTGATTATTTAAAGATTTTATTAGTGGTTTTAATTATTGATTTTTTTAACGATTGTATTAGTGATGAACATAAACGATAATTAATAATTGATGATAGTTAATAAATATTAATTAATATTGAGTGTAGTGTGCTGTTTGTATGTTTTAGGTGCAGATAGTGAAGAATGAGTTCAAAGGTCAGCAGTTCCTCCGACTTCACTCTCTCCTCTCCATTGGGTTCACAGTGGTGGTGGTGGATGGCAGGGGCAGCGCCAACCGGGGACTCCTTTTCGAGGCTCACATCACACACCAGCTGGGCTCAGTTGAGGTCCACGACCAGCTGGAAGGTACCACTGGGAGTGCGGTCTGTATTTAGACAACCGCGTATTCAGACACCAATCAGATTAACCAATCAGAATTAACCAATCAGAATTAACCAATCAGAATTAACCAATCAGAATTAACCAATCAGATAACCGCGTATTAACCAATCAGAATCGAGACAAGGAAGAAATTTATTTGAAATCTTCCTTTGTCTCTTTTCTGATTGGTTAATACTGTGTCTGAATACGCGGTTGTTTAAATACTACTACGTAACCATACCACTGAATACTTTACGATATCTCAAACTGGATCTTAGCGACTTTTTAAATTTAAAATGTGATGTTTTTGGTTTTGATAAAGGGGTACGCTGGACAATATCTCCATCAGCATTATCATAGTTGCCACTGTTATTATGATCATATATGTCACTAATAGGTCTGACCTTGAGACAAGACCGACCATAAAGAAATGATAGATTTGACTGGCAGCAATACTTATTTTCATAAGTATAAATTATTAAAACGGTTGCGTTTTTTGCATGTACAACAGCGACATTTCGCACATTTTTACCCTGCCTAAATTATCGCTAAAATTTAAACTAGCTAAACGTTACGCTATGTTGTTTTCAATTTAAAAAAAAACGTGAATTATCAACAATTGAACACTTGCACCAATCTCGAACTGTCTATTGGCTATTTTTGTTGTTTTAGCTTTGTGATTGTAGATCTTTATTTTAGAGTGATTGCATCTCTGTCGGAACCGTAGTTTAGTGGGTACATCAGTACCGGGTCAGTTCTTGAGAAAATTCTAAATGGTCGCCACACTTAATAGCATTAACTGCGCGGAATAACCCATAACTATTTTGTTTTCCTTTCTAGGTCTGAACTACATAGCGGGTAAAAGTGGGTGCATTGATCTGAACAAAGTGGCAGTGCATGGCTGGTCGTATGGAGGATACATCTCACTGCTCGCACTAGCTCAGGTCAGTTATTTTTATTAACCAAGTTATTAACCCACTTTTCATATTAGTTTTATTCCTGGGGGAGTAGGAGTGTCACCCATGTTGCGTTGCCATAGCCTTTCCCATTTTGAGCTCAGGTCAGAAGGCTTTGCTGACAGCATCATGTTAAACTGATAACGTAATTTTATTTATTGAAGTTGATAAGGGTGTGAGTTTTCGCTTATTTAGGTAGTTTTTTTAAAGAAAAATCTCGTTTTCGATTTGGCAGTTTGAATTTTGATTGTATATGATTACTTCTTTTTTTCCAATCTAGGTGGTCCTAACTTTCTGTTAAATTATTCTGATCCTAATTCTGATCTTATACTACAAACTGTATAAGTAATGAAGAATCAAACCGCCAAATCAAAAAATTCGATCTGAAAAAATGTCGAAGTACAGTATGTGTGTATAGGTCAAATTCTATGAGGTGATTTACTAGCATTTATCTGCGTTTTATTAAAGCACTGTGGATTCTGCCCGTTGTTTACTAGTAAAACATGTGTAAATTATGGTCAGTTTGAGTGATAAAGTGACCGAATTGTCATTTTGGTCGCCATTGAAGCGGGTTCGATCTGACGCTGTCGCGAGATGCTAAGCCAACTATTTGTGAAAGTAGCGTAATCCAAGTAGCAGTGGTTTAATGATTAATCGAATTGACTCTTGATCGGAAGATCCTTCTTTTGAATCTCGTAGTCTCCAAAAGTCTTCGTAAATTGAAATTGCTGTTATTGCCTGGTAATTTTTCGTATAAACACTATCAAACATTTGTATATTTTATCACCGAAAACGTAGCTTGGAGTTTTTTTATGAAAGATTTTCACACGTGGAAGTTTTTTGCGCGTGAAAATTTTTTGATTAAAAATTTTTTTCATCAAAGAAATTTTGAAGCCAGTGCATACGGATTGAGTCAGTGTGTGATTTTGTTTTAGAACCCGTGCAAGTTCATGTGTGCAGCGGCCGCAGCTCCTGTGGTCAACTGGAGAGAATATGACACAGGGTACACTGAACGATACTTGGGTCTTCCGGATGAAAATGCCAGTGCATACGGCACCAGTTCCGTCTTAAATTACATCCAGCATTTCCCGAGTGAAGCGAACAGATTGTTGATCATTCATGGAGCTATAGATGAAAACGTGCATTACAGACATACGGCTATGTTAATTAACTCGCTAGTTATGAATTGTAAGCCGTTTGTGCAGATTACGTACCCGCAAGAGAGACATGGATTGAGACACACTGAGGCAAGCGAACATTTCGAAACGTCTCTGCTTCATTTTTTCAACTCGAATGCAAACGCAAATTGAAGATCGAACGAAAAATAAATTAAAAACTACGTTTAAAACGCTAACTTTTGATAACCTCGCTCCCTTTTAAACCGCATAAACCTGTTTTTTTTTTTACTTTTTCTTGTGAAAGATCAAACAGTAAGTTGTTTGACTCAGAATAAAAATCATCTTAAATTTCCAAGAAACAGTTTCCGTTAAATATTAATGTTAAGGGATAGAGGTTCTTTAAAGCTCAGAATAGCTTTCTAAACTTGCAAACACTTTGTTAAAGCTTAATTAATGGTAAAATATTTATATTTGATAAAATATAATTTTGTAATTTGCTAGATTTCTGTCTGATGAAATTTTAAGCAATATCATAATCTCTACCAGCGGTAATTGCGTAGATTTAATAATGACGAGCAATATTTCTGTCGTGTCTCTTCATCAAAGAAATATTAAAAAATAATAAAAATTAACTGTTTCTTGAGGAAACAAAGGGTTCTTTTCCACTTCTCTCACATTTTAATTTTTCCAAGTTTCTCTTAAGTGTTATTTTTGCTAATTGTTTGATGTTACGATGTAAAGTTAAAGACAAATTCTATTCACAACAGTTTATTTATTTACGTTGCAAATTTCATCGCATAATCGCAAATTTAATTAAGTTTTTCAAAATTGAATTACAAATCTTGGGAGAGAAGAATTTATAGATCAATTGAGCCCCCCCCCCCCCAAACAAACAGAGTAAAACGCTACAGCAGACATTACAAACGCAAGCAGATAGTTTTTCTGTTCTTAGCACGACGCAATCAATTAGCCTACTGAAATTTATTCTATATCAGTGTCGAGAAAAATTTTAGAACAAGAAAACTCGAAGTTTTTTATTTGCGAATCTTTGCTTGGGCGATCATTGCCTCGAGAAAAGCAAGTTACCAGCCTTGGTGTTCACACTAGCGATCAGCTTAGAGTATTATTACGAACCTTCTTTTTTCTAATCTAACTCGCAAATAAAAATATTCGTTAAAAGTGTTCACTTGTTTGGAAATTTCACTGTAGCATGGACAATTGCATAGCATCTTTTCTATGGTTTATTTGTGACTAGTGTTTGGGACCAATTAAACTTACGTGACTGATTGGTTAGTGTGTGTGACTCTTAATCACAATGTCGTAGGTTCACATCTCAGACTTAGCCTTCTTTTTGCTAATTCGAGGCATATTTCTCTTTTTTTTCTCCTTTCACTTAATAAAGCTGCTTTTTTTGTCGTTTTCTTGCTAGTGGTTGCAAAGCGCAGCGTCGGCTCTGTGTTATGCTCGTGATTAGCCAGCGCTATCATTTTGGAATATAGGCATTGGCTCCTTTTGTTTTCCCCATATTTTTTATAAATAATTTTTTGTTCATATTCTCCGATTGTTACAAAAATTGGCATGTGCATTAATTAGGCTATGGTAAATATGTTTGGTCTTCATGCTTAAACTTATAAAAGCCCTTGTTACCTAATAAAATTGAGGCTTATGTGTAATGAGGGGGAAGTTACAAGAGCCTAAGCTTTTCTTTGACCAATTTGTTCTGCAGACAACTTGTCCAACAAATTAACTGAATCGTTTTTTTTTCAAATCCGCATCAATTCAAATACCTAATCGACTTACACTTGCGATCAGCTGAGTTTCATATTACGAACCGTCTTTTTTCCAAGCTAATTTGAAAATATAAAAGTGTTCATTTATTTGTAAATTTCACGAACATTGGAAATTGCATAGCATCTTTTCTTTGCTTTATTTGTGGCTAGTGTTTGGTGCCTACTAAGCTTCAGTGGCTGAATGTTTAGTGTGTGATACTCTTAGTCTCGCAAGTTCGAATTTCAGAGTTAGCCGAATTTTTTCGGAGATTTGGTATTGTGAATTTTGGTTTTTCGCATTCGTTGGAGAATCTGACTCATGATTTCATAACTTTCAAACTATTTTCAAGTGGTTATATACATTCCTCGAGTACCCATTGAGCTACCTGCACCCCCCTCCCTCCCCGAGCCAGAATGGTGATGGGGGATACTCAATTGATCCGAATTAATTTGTTTTTTTTTTGTACGGTTAAAAAAATGATGAATGTGTTTTTTGGTCGTTCACGGTACCAGTTTTCCGTGATCTAGAAAAATAATGACAGGAGAAATATTGTTTTGCAGTTCAACAAAGCTTTTGTTATTTTTGAAGGAATGCGAGTAGTGTTAGCCAGACAGAAAACATTAGCTTGGGCTTATATTTAGATGCAAAAGAGCATCATAATAATTTTTGTCACGCTGTTCCATAAATTATTTTCAAGAAAAATCCTGCGGATGTAAGCTGACGGGGGCTATCTATGTATTTTTTCTTAGTTCAGTGGTTCTTCAAAGACCATCAGCAGTCTGTATGGTTCCTCGTATATCAAAAAATGATAGGGTCCGCGTTCACTGTTTGATGAGTTTTTATTTACTTGAAGTGTGAAGAACTTTCAATTTGCAAGTTTTTCAGATGGTGCAATGGTATGAAAGGTGATGAGTTTACAGTTACTGCAAAGTTACGGCCCAGAAGATAACGACGAAACCGAAAGTGAATCTTCTCCAAATGACGATAGTCAGCCTGATTGTGAAAGATATTGCAACGGCAATACTTTTCATAAAGCGGAAAGCAATACAAGAAATCTAGAAAAGCTATCTGAAAATGAATTGAGCCAAAAAACAAGCAATGGATGTAAAGAGGAACCGATAACTGCAATACCGATAACTGCCATTAGGAAAAATAGTTCCTATCAAATTGAAAGCGTCCCGTTTGATCGCGGAGATTTGGATTTTTTGAATGATTATCAAAATTTAATGGATAATTATTCTTCTATAGAAACACAAAGCTACTGCCAGAAATATGAGTTTAATCTAGCACGCGAACCTGACTTCAAACAAAATCAAGAACTGGAACGCTTCAAGGAACGGGAAATTAATTCCGAAATTGCGCGTGAACAGAATAAAAATGGTAAACTAAAACGTGAACTTAATCCGAATAGTAGTTGTGAACTTAATAACAGCGAAACAAGAAAGGTCAAAAGAGTTCGTACTTTCGAACACGAAGTTGGAAATTGGAGTTCTTTTTTCTACGTTCCATATCCGAATTCGACCGATTTGCTGAAAATTCTACAACCGCATTTGTCCAAGTTCGAATCTGAGGGGTTCTTTCTATGCAAAGATTTCCATATAAGCTTATCCAGAACTTTAGTCTTGAAGCATTTCATGATAGACTCCGTGTTTTTGTCTATGAAACCATTGTTGTTTAAACTTAACTCCGCGCAATGTTTGTTGGAAGGAGTTAAACCCTTTCAAAATGACGAAAAAACAACCAGTTTTATTTCATTGACTGTAGCTACAGGATCAAATTTACTCAACCAAATCATTGATATTATCAACAAAAAAGTTTGCGATGTGTACAAATTTCCTCATTTTTACGAAAATCGTGATTTGCATATGAGTTTGTTCTGGAAAAATGGACCAATAGACGAAGTTGCGTTCCAATTAGCCAGAGATCTGGATCAAATTTTGGACCAATATACAGCGGAGCAAGGCACAATGTACTTCAGTGCAGTGTACGATGACGTTTTGACTTTTGAAATTGAAGAAGTCATTTTTAAATCAGGATGCAAAACTATGTTACTACCACTGAACTGTATATAAACTTGATTGTCTCAGTATTTTAAGTTGCAAGTAGAATTCAAAAGTTTCAATATTTACCGTTTTGCATACCGCTAGATCAGGGTTTTCAACACTTTTACTGAATATCTATTTTTCAGAGTTAAAAAATTATATTAATCAAAAGTCAAAAAATTTGCATTTTTTTGAACTTTTGTGTTGCTTAGACTAGAGTATTGTTAATTGCCATACTTCTCTTGTTTTCTCCCGGTCATTTCTTTGTTTTGACCAACATATTTGTGTTCTAATACAATTCATTGGATTCTGAAAAAACGTTGTTCATGATAATATAATATCAAAATGAGCGTTTTTTTTTCATCAGTGGAACTAGTTGAAAAGTTGAGTGGAACTAGAAGATAGGTTGTTGTGCTAACATAACAGATACTTCTATGAAAAGAATTCGGCGCAGTATTTATTACAATAAACTACTTTCTTTGTCCTAAACTTAGAGTACTTAAACCCCTAAATTTACCTCTATACACAATTACTCACAAAATTTAAGGAAGGACAGCTGCTAAAAAATTCGCTTTATAGGTCGTTTTTTTTTAAATTTCTGTAACATCACCGGTGGACTGATTTTTCAAAATTTTGGACCCTCGTGTATTAAGATAGGTTATACCCTATCCGATCTACACCCTATGTACTAACATAGGGAATAGATTTCCCAATGTATTAAGATATGTTAAAGGTTTCAGATAGTAAGTTTCGAGAATGGTAAGTTTGCTGTATGGCACCCGATATCGCCGATACAGCAATGTTTAAGATTTTAAATGGTTTCCTAATCAAAAAACATTAAGTCGTTAGCCCAAACGCAGTGTTAAAATGTTTTTTGAAAAAAAGAATAATTACAGAAAAAATGCATTAGTTTACAGCATCGTATATAATTTTACTACATAATCTCTTGCAAACTTAGTTGTTTAGTATGTATTCCATCACATTCAACTTCCCGTTTATGGAAAAATAGCTCAGTTCTTTTTTAGTTTGTTCATAAGTTGCAACTGCATGGTTAATCGTTTTAAATCCTCTATTAGTTGACTTCAATTTCACCTCATCTAGTACTTCTCAATACTTTGCCATCGGTCCATCTCCAGCGTCTTCTAATCCGCGTAATAATCAGTTGACTTGTGTAGACAGATATTTTCTGAATTCGGTAGTGTGCAGCCGAGCTTCAACATTTCTTTCCCTTTGTCATGATAAACTTCAATCATTTTTTGCATAGCTTCAAGGGTAGAAACAACATCTTTGTTATTGTACCACTGTAGAAAATCGCGAAATGTTGTCATTTGTTCCTGTTCTCATATAGATTTCAAGTAATTGTAGTTTTCCAGTCCCATATGTTTAAGGAAAAGCAGAAAGTCAGAACTTAGTTCCATTGCAAAGTTTGGTTTTTCAGTTATGATTTGTTAAGAAAAGTCTGCCATAAAAGTTTTCAGATAATATCCAATAGATTAGCTCTTATTTCAATCACCAAAATTTTCGTTTAACTACACCAATAAATTCCATTTCTACCATGTACTTATCTATTCCATTTCGAGTGCTTTAAATGGTTTCAGTTCTCTCACACTTAACCTGTTTTTTGAAACTTTACAAAAATCAAGATTAAGAAGAGACTTTACGAATATTTTGCTAGTATTTGATTCTAATTGGTAGAAAAACCGTAGTTCTGATGGCAACATTCAAAGTAGTTTCTCAATTAGAGAATTTTTACCTGCTAATCGTAAACTTGCCAAAAAACAAGGTAAAGTTCAAACGTTTTAGGTTTAACACTAATTTTACCTCTACAAGCAAATTGATGCTATTTTCCACCTAAATTCCCTAGTGATGCCTTAACGTTCATGCAAATGTGAAATCAATGGCGAAACACTATATGAAGCAGAAAGCAGGAATTAACTTAGAAAATAAGGCTTCTTCGCAAAATTCATGATAAATTATGTTGTAGAAGCAAAAGAGATCATGAACAATTATGAAGAGTTTTTTGCCGAAATGTAGCCTATGCTTATGTTCAGTTTTTGCCAAGATCGCTTCAGTACTAGTACAGTTTGATCAGCAGAAAATCTGTGGAGTTTGAGAAAAAAAAGTGATTTTTCACCACATATAATTGATTTTTGTCAATTAACAGATGTAGTTTTCGAAATTTTTCTCTAAAGTTTCCTCCACTTTGTTCCATTTTTAAATAGCACGATAATTGTGATAAATTCTTGGATAAAATATGAGGTTGTGTCAATATAGTAAGACTTTTGAATTTTTCCAGAATTTGCATTGATTTTAATCCTTGACAAAAAACGAGGAAGTATCGAATCATGAACTTTTTTTATGAAATTTCAATTGCGCTTGCTATTAATGATCAATGGAAATTTCTTTGTTAACTAAGCTTGCCTTTACTTTGACAAAGAAAAACCTGCGAAGAAAACATGAGTGGAAAAAACTGGATATATGCCGAGTCTAATATGAAACACTTACGTACTTGTTCAAAAAATATGGTAATTTTCACGATTCTTCCGATAAATCGAATTTTTCCGCATGGGTTTAGCTGGTCTGAGCGTTGTTTTTAGTTTTCTCAGCACTATAAATCATGCATCTTAGCTTAAAATAGATCCAATTTTGTCTTATTTTTTTGAGGAAAAATGAAGAAAAAAACGCAGAATTTTAATCAAAGTTTTGTTTCATTGTCCTAACTTGATACCAATTAATCAATAATTTGGTGTTTCAGTCTGTTCACATAAAATAAATTTGTTTTTTTTTGTGATTAGATGAAGAATGAATACAAAAATTAATCAAAAACTCGAGATTTCTCAAAATTTTTCCGAAAAATTGAGCTTTTTCCCAAAAATTTTTGCACAAAACACTTACCATCTGAAACTTAACATCCGAAACTAATTATAAGACGTTGAGAAATCTATTCCCTATACTAATACATTCGATTTATATCATTCGCGTTTCGAATCTTAAAAAGTGCTGTATCGGCAAAATCTGATGCCTCCAGCCTATCTTAATACATGAGAATCTACACCCCACCCCCACCCGATTTTGCCCCTAGATATACTCCTGCTTATTTACCTAATGCTTTGAATCTAAAAAGTTTCGATGTTTTTTGAGATTGATTTTGTGATTGTCTGGACTTTTTTGTTACTTAGAACAAAATTAATCATCAACGTTTTTTTGATTGTAATAATTCTCGTTTTTTTCTAGTTCTTTCTTCATCAGTAACTTCGTTGAAAGCCCTCTTTCTTTGCTAAGTCCTCGACGTCAACCTGTTTAAATCCTTTACTCGTTGTTTAAATGATTCTAGTCTTTAACTTGCTTTTCATGTGTGTAAAGTATTCTTTTATTTCAAAAAGCCAAGATGATATATGTTTTTTGAACTCATTTTTTAAAAATGCATTTAAATTTTCTGACGTTTTTTTTTTCATCTTGACTTCTTTCAAAAATAATTCAAAAACTGAAAAACTTTTTTTTTACTACTGGGTGTTAATTGAATGTTTTGAAACTGAATGTGGACTTAGTGTTTTTACAAAAGTTGAATCAAGTAAAAGTTAATTGTGTTGAAACTGGTCTGCTCTATTTGCGTTTGAAAGTGTGTCCAATCGATTTTTGTTCCGAGCATTTGAAAAATGACGAGGAATTTTGTATTGGATGTGTTTTAATTTTTTCTCTTTTATTTTCCATGCAAATTCAGGCAAATAGTCATCGGAATGGAATGAGTGATTTTCATATTCAAGCACTTTCAGTCGTGACTCGAACTACATATCAAAATGCTGCAAATTTACTCTCATTGTCGAGAAAGGCGTTTAAATTTTTTTATTTTTGTTCTAATTTTTTAAAGAAACCTAGCGAACAGGCTTGCTTAGCTTAATTCAATGCGCTTACAGTTTTTTTCTATTTCTGCCTAACATTAGTTTTACCCAAGTTTTGTTTTTCTAGTCATTAGGAAACTTATTTGAAAAACTTTTCTTAATGAATTTTTTACAGATTATGGTCGGAATATTGTGTGCTACTTGCTTAATACTCGGCTATCCTTATTTTTCCCAAATTTTCTGATGTTTTCATGGGATCGGGTAAGGATGAAAAGTCAGGCTTAGGAACTTACTGATTTTTATCAAAGATTTCTATTATCACTCGTGAATTTGATTGATTGCGAATATGGTATCTACTTCAAAAACCGTTATGAGTAGTCGAATCAGAACTAAATTGGCTCGAATATGATAGGAGTAGTTTGTATTGAGCCCTAATACTGCTATTCGGCGCAGTGCTCTAAAAGTCACCCCACACATAGTTCATAGTGAAAGTAAATAGTTAAATTTTTTCTTTTGATTTCTGTTTCTCGGACAGAAAGAAAGAAAGAAAGAAAGAATTTATTTCTTCAGACAATTAAATGCAAAAAATACAGAAAATGAAGAAACACAATTTTAATAGTCATCATTGAATTTATCTGACATTTTGTATAACATATCTGAAGAGGATAGACCAAGGGCCCGCTTGACGTCTACCCTGGTAGTAGTAAGACACGAAAAGTATAATAACTATAAATAAAAAGTATTTAAATAAAAAAAAAATGAAAATTTTTTCAATTAGTTTTTTTTCCACTCCTTTCGATAACATTTTTTTCGAGAATTTATTTAGAGGATCCGGATCATGATTGCATCTTAGCTTAGTGAGCATCAGTTAAAACCAAGGATCGTAATGAAAATTTTTTTTTTTTCAAGTAATTTTGGAAATTTCATTTTTTTTCAAAAAAAAAATGCGATTATCTCGAAAACCACAAGGATTTGGAGCTTCATATTTTCAGCATGGATTCGCAGCCCATAATTGAAGTCTGATACAGGTTAACCAAAGGGTAAAATTTTTGGTAAATAAAAATATGGTACTATTGATTAGACATTAAGATTATTTATCGAAAATAAAATTTGATAACTCATTATTTCCTAAAATGTATAAATACTTTAATTTGTGAGCTGCCGTAAGCACCTGGCTTGCATTTAGAGACTGCGAATTAATTGGCATAATTCCGTTTTCCTGAAAAATATTGAAAAGTTTGGTTCCCCGTTTAGTTAAAGAGTGGTTTTCTATTTGGGTTTTTGGCTTACATATTTTCAGTAAGTTTTTTTCCGATCGTCTGGTTCTTTCAATAGAATTATCAAAAGTAAGAAGCGAGTTCAGATAATTTTCTGAATGCAGGTTCGATAGTGACCTTAATAGAAACTTGAAACACTCATAAATATACAATTCATGAACTAAGTATTTTGTGCTTAACAAATATATCTGACACGCTTTCGCAATTGTTTCGATAAGAAATGAGTCGGATAAGTTTTTTCTGTAATTCAAAAAGCGGAAGTAATGCATTGTAGCTTGTGCAACCGTATACTAAAATTCCATACTGAATGATAGACCTAATGTTTGATTCATAATACCTAAACATAACAGAGCTCGGCACGTAATGCCTTGTTTTAGCAATTATTCCACATTGTTTTCGTAATTTTTTTCTGGCAAAATCAATATGATTAGAAAATCCTAGTTTGAAATCAATGTTAATACCTAGGTATTTCCAATATATTTCTGACGATAAGTTTTTGCCATCATATAATATTGTTTCATTAGAAGCGCTTTTCCTAGTGAAATTTATTTGAACTGTTTTTTTTTTCATAATAAGTGAGAGCCTATTAGCGGCAAGCCATTTCGCAACTGCATTAAAGTCATCACTCAGTTTTTTGAGTGATCGATCTATTGCTACTAAAGTGGTATCATCGGCAAACAAGTATACTTCCGAGTTATTGACAACGTTTGGTAGATCATTGACATATAAAAGAAAGAGAAGTGGACCTAAAATGGATCCTTGTGGAACACCGCTGTTAATTGTTAGAAAATTTGATCGCACACCAGATATCTCTACACATTGCTTACGATTTGACAAATAGCTCACTATCCATTGTATACATTTACCTACAATACCATAATATGGCAATTTTTTACTTAAGATATCATGATTTAGGGTATCAAAGGCCTTCTTTAAATCAAGGAATATTGATGGAATGAAATTCTTATTTGAAAGGCGCAATTTTTTGGTAACCTCGGCGATGGCATCAATGGTGTTGTGTTTGATTCTGTATCCAAACTGTTTACAGTATATCAAGTTAAATTGCTCTAAATAATTATATATTCGGTTGAACATCACACGTTCGAAAATTTTACCTGACGTCAAAAGCAAAGCAATTGGCCTGTAATTGTTTAATTCTTATTTGGATCCATCCTTGTGAAATGGCAGTGTTTTTGCTTGGGATAACTCGGTGGGAAAGACTGCTTGCCTATTGGAAGCATTGATCAGTATTGTTAAGCTTGGTATAATTGCATACGCACATGCTTTCAGAATATTATTACTAACATCATCTAGCCCTACGGAGGCTTTTGATTTTAAATCGGTTAGAATTGAGGCAATTTCGTTTTCATTAACTGGTTTTAGGTATTTTGATACAATTGGCTCCTTAATTCTAATTTCTAATTCAGGAGTTGATAACTGTTTCACCAATTTATCTGCAATTTGTCCAAAAAAGTTGTTGAAGTCGTTTGCAATTGTCTGTGGATCTGTATGCCTATCGCCACTTTCACTAAAAATATCACTGACATCTCTATTACTTCCATTCGATCCTTTTAACTTACTTAAAAATTTATGTATTTGTCTGGAGTCGCCAATACATGTTTGAAATTTCTTCATATAAAATTTTTTCTTAGAGCTTCTGATTTCTGATCTAACTCTGTCATTTAATTCCTTATACCGCAGCTTAATCAAGTGATTATATTTACTTTGCACCAATAAATGATGCTGCTTATTTCTTTTCGTGATGAGGTTTTTAATTTTATTTGATATCCACGGAGGACACTTGGTGGTTTTATTAACTTTTTTGATCATTGGGGCAAATTAGTCTAAAACTTCAATAAGCGTTTTGTGAAACCTTGAAAAAGTTTTATTTACATTTTCAATTTCCTTAAATTGTTCATTTCATGCAATAATACGAAGTTGAAATTTTGAACCTTCTCCGCACTCTTTAGAAAAGACGTATCTCTTACCAGGATTGCTTCATTATCATTATCTGAACTGTCTTTATTGAATTTCATTATAACCGGATAATGATCTGCAAAATTTTGATGAGTTAACTCACTCACAATTGAATCACTATCATTTGTAATAAAATGATCTAAAAATGTTTCTGAATTTTCTTCAACCCTTGTGGGTGAAAAACTAAAGACTGAATCCGTTTGATTATATTGCATCGATGTATTTTCATCAATGGAACAATCCAAAACTTTAGTTATTTTAACTTCTTTTAGTGCTTGAAACAAGATTCCTCCTCCTCTTGTTGGCCTGGGCTTGAATACAACCTTGTATCCACTTAACTTATATAGTTTTTCATCATCCTCTTTATCTAGCCATGTTTCAGTGACAGCTACTATATTAGGCGGTGACTCCAGACTATACTAGCGCTTCTAATTCTTCGCTGTGTTTTTCTAACGATCTAGCATTTATAAGTAGCACACTAATTGGCATTGTATCAATTTAAGCACATGCTTTTTTCAATTTTGGTTGTTAGTTAGTTACAAAGCATTGCTCTAGATCAGCTAATTGATATTTCATTTTCAACCCTCCCTCAAACAATCCCTTGATGGTCTGCACCCTTGAATCTCCAGTTAGTTTGTAGTTTATTGTTCCCTCTCTTGTCCATACATTTTCAATTCTCGTATCTGTCTTCATCATATTAAAAAACTTCACTCTTGCCAGCGTTAGATCCTCAAAAACCTGTTCATTTTTCAGTTCATCGATGTCTTTGAATTTCGTCTTATTTCTTAAAAGATCTATTCCTGAGCTCCTATTAGCGAATCGGGCAATAATAGGTCTCGGTCCTTGTGATCGGGTGGGAAGGCGATGGGCGATTGAGATATTGCTTTTTTCCAGGTTACTGCCCACTTTATTTGCAATATCGATCACCTTTACTGTAGTGGCGTCACTTGATTCCCAATTTTGGCGATTGTCGTTTGTGGCGTTTTCTGGAATTCTCATTATCCGGACGTTTTCTCTTTTTATATATGTTTCAATCACTTCTGATTCGGACAAAGCTTTGAAGGTCATTTCTCGACTTTGCCACGCCATCTGTCTTTTCACTTCGTTTTTTACTTCCAGTTTTGCTTCTCCTATGGCTTTGTTTAGCATCTCCTCGAATGTCGTTTTCAAACTTTCTTTCATTTTTTGAACAATTTCGGGAATTATTGCTTTCATCTTTTCTTCAATGGTGTCTGAGATGGTCCTTGAAAAATCTCCTCCTTCAATAATAGAGTCGAGTGGACTTAGATCGATTTTTTGTCGCTTTTCTCCTTTTCTGACTAGTGTGAATGGCGTCTGATCCTTGTATCTCAATACTGGAATTGTTTGCTCCTCGGTCGTCATTGTTTGATCCTCCGCGTTGTTCTCAGTTTGCGTCTCCGCCACAATATTTGTCTGCATTTCGCTCTCCTGCATTTGGTTTTCCATCATCTATCGTCTCTGAAACTATTTAATAAGTTTATCACAACAATTAGGCTAAAAGATTTGAATTTTTGAGCAGATACATATTTTGCTGTGAGCGCAAAACGCTAGATTCACTTTTTCTGGTTGAGGATCTTAAAAACAGACCTTCAGGTCTCATAAAGACCTACCAATTTATTGTAAGTCAAGAATTTAGCTTGTTTTTATTTTAATATAAAATACCCCTAGATTAGACTGGAAACAATTTATTATTTTTATTTACTTCAACTCTACGAGAGTGTCAGTGACAATAACTTTTTACCCATATCCCATCCCAATTGCAACCCCCCCCAACCAGATCTCCAGCCTGCTGATTAAGCGACTAAGGATACGCATCAATGAGTCCCCATTGTAAATGGCAACCAGCATTTTGAGAATCGTCCAAATAAGCAGGAGTCCATTCATTGGGCAAGGCGCAGTTTTCTTTGTCACTGTGAACTCCGCCACATTGCTCAGTTAAAACTCCATTATTCATGCAAAACTTCACATTTTTGAACCAAAATGGCGCTTCTTGTTCATTGACTTTCATCATCCACTGTAAATTGCAACCGCCAGTGAACGAGCTTGTAGCATCTAAGTACTCACTGGTATACGAATTGATTGGTGCGCAACTCACAAACTGCCGAATCGAATTTCCACATTGCCTATAATCCCCGGTTGTTTCGGAGCGGAAACAGATTTGAGCATTTAAGAACCACGAATCAGTAAAAGCTGGAGCAAAAACAGACCAACTCATTTGACAGGAAAGCGTGTTACTATTCGAGTAGTCATAGTAAACTTTAGTGTATTGGTTAGTAAACGCGCAGAAGGGACCAGATGATTCTTGACATTTAGTCATTGAAACGGTGCCGTCTCGTGGTTTAAAACAAACTTGAGTTTGGTTCCACCAATCTGGCTTGTCCAGATGATAACTCACCGAATTTCCAAACTCCGTCACTTTTTCGTGATCTGGAATCAGAGCGCTTTGCAATTCAATTCCTGTTTGAATTAAGGTATATAAAGTTGTGATATCTGCAAAAGTGTACTTGATTGAAGCTCGCTCTAACAAATCAGCCAGCTCCACAAGATAAGCCTTATCCAGATGTGCTTGAACAGCCAGCATCATTGATTTTTGTTTTTTCGAATCATTGATCATTTTGTAGACTGGAACTATTTGTCCAGCAAAAAGCCAGGGATTATTGGCTACTGAAGATTCCCAATAAGGTATGTCTTCAGTCTGAAGCAGGGAAGTTTCGCCGCCTCTATAAATGACATCCATAGTAGTATGGTCTGTGAATTTTTTATCAACAGCGCTAACGGACCCACTATATCCGGCTTTAGCCTTCAGAAAGCCCAGAAACGAAGCTTTGGCTTGATATTTCATATTTTGGACAGTGCTTGTCGAGTAATAATTGCTGGTTGTTTTGTAATAAATACTAATATAACCACCAAACTCGCCTTTGAACAAAAAATGAGTCCCAAAATAGCCAATGAAACTGAAATAGGCTTCTGGAGATGCTTCAAAATCTTCGGGCAGTAAGTCGACTACATGTTTAGCTGCAGTTGACAGTCCCAAAACTTCAGCCGGAGCAAAAGCCGCCTGGCAAGTTGAAACGAAAGACGTCACTTCTGTGATCTGTAACGACTCTTCTAGTAAAACTTTTAACATTGTTCTGAAAGTGTAACTGGCAGAAAAACTCCCAAGCATCTTGACTTTGACACCCAACCCTGCTCGAGATGAGAAGCGAGCTTTGATGTCCAGTCGGCTTTGGTACAAATAAGTCTCCGTATTTAGCCAACTTCCAGGGATACTTGCAATTCCTAAAATTTGGTCTGGCATTTGGAATGTTTCGTTGTTGTACGGATTTCTCCACACTTTTCCTTCATTGCATGTGTATTGAATTACGCGTCCAGCGAAACCATCTGGCTCTGCGAAGTCCAGAGGTTCCAAGTCCAGTCGGGATATATCGACGCCGAAAGCCATTCGATTGATGCCAGTCGGAATATTCGTGCACTCCTCTGTTATAACATCATCAGGTCCAATTAACAAAAAAATTACAAGATTGAACCAAATCATTTTGCTTGAATTGTTCCGCTAGGAGAATTATTTTTTTAGAGATTTTGTTTTTTGAATTAATTAAAATTAGTTGTAATTGAGGCGTTCTTGTTAAAAAAAAGTAACGTTTGTTTTTGAATTCATAAACAATAGGCAATCGTGAAACCCTTTCTGAGCATTTTCACTAGGTCTTGATGAACACTGAAATCTTATCGTTTCCTTTGTTTCTAGTTTTTGGTCTCATATTGATTGAAATTCAAAGAATCAAAGTGTTTGTAACATGTTGAAGACTTATTTGCCGAAAAAACTCAGATAAGTGGGAGGATCCAGGACAGTTGTTTTTTATTTATATTTTTGTTGATAGTGTTATTGTTATTCAGTGGCGCGCGGAAAGTTTTTCGTTTTTTTTTTGGGGGGGTTTCGAAAAATTGACGACCTTCTTTTTTTGGTGAGCCAAATTGATTTGATTCGAAGATCCTTAAAACATATCAAGCAATATTTGCTTGAATTTCTACTTAAACGTTTAAAAAATGTTTATCATACAGTTTCCATATATGAAAAATGTTTATCCTAGAGTTTTCTTACAATTTTCCGAATCTATAAAACTGTAGGAAACTGTAGGATAAGCATTTTTTCATATATGAAAATTGTTGGATAAGCATTTTTGGTCAACCCGGGAGGTTAAAAACGATGAAACAGGTCAAAAAATTGCCTTTTTTGTCGGTGCTAGACCTAAAGATTAGTATAGGTGGCGCCAAAGGCGCCTTTTGGAAAGATTAAGGTTTAGTTAGCATGAAATTGCTCCCGTAAATTAATACAAACGGGCGGTTCTTTGGAAAAACTGGGCAACCAGATGTGAGGTGCGAGGGTGGATGCCATCGCCTCTCGATTCCTGCCGTCGGTACGCTACTGTTATTACTTATGATTTTGCGAATCATATGAACAATGATACAATTGATGGCAGCGCTTTTATTTTATTTTGGATGCAATAATTCAGGGGCGGATTTAGGGGGGGGGGGGGGCGGACGCCCCCCCCCCTCAGGGATTCGACCCCCTGCCGACCCAAAGGGTCCCCCCTTTGATACTTTTTCAGAAATCCATTTTTGCCCGACCGACCCTAAAATTTTTCTAAAGGCGCCTTTGGCGCCAATATATAGTAACTTTGAGGGGGAGCGCGCGCCAAAAAAAACGCGATTTTTTTTGTCAAAATTTTTCAAAAAGTGCCCAAAAACGGCTTTTTTGACTGTTTTTTCAAAAATTTGCCTGCGGCGCAGAAAATTTTGCCAAAATAGGGGCAAAACACTGCTTTGGGAGAGCTCGAAAAATCAATTTGGTCGATCTAAAAAAAAAAAGGTCGTCAAAATTTTCGAATTTTTTTGAAAATCCGCCCCCCCCCTCGAGAAAATCCTAGATCCGCCCCTGCAATAATTGTATTTCATAAATTTTTGTAAAAAAAGGTTTTCTACCAAAAAAAAAACATTTCAATCTAATTGTATTTCATCAATTTTTGTAAAAAAAAAAAGGTTTAGTACCAAAAAAAATTCAATCTAAAGCAAAAAATTAGGTGTTCCCATACCGGGTAGTTGTTTTTGGAATCCTCATCAAAACTAGAAAGGTTTACTGTGGTGCCACATTTGTATTTGTACGTAGAGCTACTTTCTACATAGTTACTTCCCGTGAAAGGTCGCAACAGTAAAAATGACAGATACTGCTTACTAGTAAGAACCCAAATATAAATTTAAAAACCCTAATATAAATTTCTATTTTGTATTGGTTAATCAGTACGAGACCATAATGTGCCTTTTGCGATTTCTAAGTGGTTTCCGCAGCTGACCGAAAGTCGCCTTTTTGTGTAATCCGCAACAGGGTTATCTTGATTTGATTATTTTTTAAGTGTAGAATTCAGAGACAAATGGCTAAAACGTTGTATTGCTGTAACTCGATCAACAAGCAGTACAGTTGCGGCTTTTTCGTAACCCGCTAATCTAAGTGGACTTCGCACACTAAGCAGAATCTGCAAATTTCAAGAGCAATCAGCAATTTGCGGAATCCTTTACAATAAAGTTAGGTGTATAAATGGCTCATGACTTTTGAATTTGAGTCAAAGAAGCCGTTCTAGCCTCGCAAAAGTTGCCAAAAGACTTGTGATTCAATTCGAGACCTTTAGTATCAATTGCTGTTCCAGCAGTACATTTCAATCAGTTCAATCTCGATTGAGACCAAAGAAGCAACTATGCCAAACAGGAATAACTTCAGATTAGAAGGCGATCTGAGAAAAAACTTGGGAAAAATTTTATGTTTTCGACATATTTGTTAACAAATTTCACTTCATTCAATTTTTATTCTCTGTTTTGAATCAGTGGAAGAAAATAAGATTGTGTCAGATTATGAGATTGCTTAAATTACTTTTGAAACGTATTTAGAGCCGATAACTTAGATACTAAGTAGAAATAACGAACGAGGTGTCATCTCCACTGACTAGAAGGTACTTGAGCGTATGATAGTTGATCTCAAATAGAGGCAGTACAGCAGTGCCGAAGTACATCAGTGCCGAAAATATAATTTCATTCAACTGTGCCGAAAGTTAATTGGAATAATGTTTTTACCGATCCCAAATGATGGCATCCTTCATGATAGAGGGACCGAATGTTGGAAATTTAGTTTCAGTTTTTCCAGACAATCAGAATTAAATAATCAAAAATCTCAAGAAATCTCAAAGTAAGCAAATAAATTCGGGCCATTAAACTTATTAATGACCGTTTAACAAATAAGCAGATTGCAGATACATGGGTTTTCAAGTATTGCCAGATTACAGAAACCTTGAAAAAAAACATTAATCACAAGACCGATATAAGAAAATTTGAAAACAAAAAAATCAATTTCTAAAATCTGCACGAACTGTGTATGGTTTGTTCAATTGTCTGCTAGTTCTTACCTCGGCTCATTGCAGAACCCATTCAACGAATAAAAAATCTCTATGGATTCTGATTGGTTGTAAGGTTTTCCATCTTTCGGTCCCTCCATCATGAGAATAGGACCAATCCCAAATCACGGACAAGTAGTTAGTATCAACTGGACGGAAGTTGAAGAAACAAAACTGACCTTTTTAACGGTGCTTAGCAAATTAGACGATCAGACAGTAACTGAATTTTGACAATAACTTGCGTGCAATTTTTGTGAAAATTTGTTTACAGACATAAATTAACCTTTAGCTGAGCGAACACTGGTTGTCAAACCACAAATCTGGTAGCTAATATAACAGTTATAAAATTTCAGCACTTCAAAAAATGTGCTATACCTTTTTGATACAATGATTTTATTTATTTTACAAAAAACATTTTGATCAGTACTTTGATAATAAACTCTTTGAGTTTGTGTAACCCTTTTCTAAACAAAAGCCTATTCTGGCCCTGCTTTTTTAGTCTAACTTTGCGAAAAATGCTCAAAAAGTTATCGTCTAAATTCAATTATTTTACGGTCCTTTAATATGCTCTTCGTCTCAATTTCTAGGCCCCTTTTTAACTAATACCGCCTATTAAACAAACAAAAATTCCCCCAAGCGCGGCGTCATCAGTTTTTACGACCAAATAACCAATCACCAATTTGTCAAATTTTGTTCTCGTTTTCGCTCTCGAACAAAAAGTAATCACGCAACTGTTAAGACAATTCACAAAGAAAACTCAACAGTTTAAAATAACATCAATTTTTGGCACTGTTGATCACATTTTCAGTTTCGGCATTGTTGTACTTTGGCACTGTTGAACGCCCCCCCCCCCCCCTCAAATGATATATTAGTTTATTATCGTCTTTCGGTTTTGTTTTGAAAGTTGATAATTAAAAAGAGTAATTAGTTTTGCAGAGCTTCTCAGGCTATCTTCCAAATGTCTCACAGACCCATGTTTCGAGGGAAGCTGCTAGAAACAACCGATCTACTTAACAATCTCCACCTCCCCTTTCAATAAAGGGAGAGAGAGAGAGATTGTTAAGTAGATTACTTGAAGCTGATTTTTGACCAATCAGAATGCAGCAAAATTCGAATTTTCATACAACCCTCATACAGTGCGAATTTACTGTTTTTATTTACAGGGACGGAGGTTCTTTAGTAGATACAATAGGGGGGATTGTTAAGTAAATCCGAAACAACTTCTCTCAGACTTGAAACGGCGATTATTGTACTTTTTAAAATTCACCAGTTTCGAATAAGTGTAGAAAAAAAACTATTTATAGTTATAATTTAGCAGACCATCCAAATTGAGACCAAACAATTCTTGAGTTCACAACCCAATATTTAATAGAAGTCCCACTACCACTGAGTTTCTGCCTTGCAATGCCCAGTCTGTCTCGAGTTTTGGGGGTGGCTTCGATGGCGGACGGTTTTACAATCAGGAGGTGTTGGGAAACGTTTTTTGAGTCAAAACTAAAACGATGTGCCTGTAGTTCGCTATTTGTATCAAGACAAATTATTCTACTCCACTATGCCAACCCACTAAGTACAAGTCAGAACATTAAGTTCAGGTGAACATGAATAATCTTTAGTGAGAACATGAAAACTTTATATTTTCAGCTAACTCCTCCTGTGCTGTTTTTTTTTTTTCATTTTTTGTTCTGACCATTTGAAAAATGCTGAAGACTTTGTATGAACAATTCAGCTAAGATCTCTGAACAGTATTCCATACTAGACGTGGTCAAATTTTGTCGAAAACCTTCTCAATAAATTTCATCTACTGCACAATAACGCATATACACCACTGCATGTGTTAATGTGGCTGCGGATGATGTGCATAAAAATGTACGATGCTTCAAATAATTTAACAGATTTTTTAAAGTGTCAAGCTCGTGCTCTTTTTTTTTGCTGACGTCATATTTTGCACACAGTCATGTTTTTTCTCAATAACAGAATCGCAGGGTCGGTGGCTCCTAAAATGTTC